TACATCTATTATCACAAGCCCAGACCCATGAATAATTAATATCAACTTCGACTGTATATTTTTGTACATGGTAAAATACATAAATATCAAGCAATTGAATTATCATATAAATCTTAAGCTATATTAGAAATAATGATGAAGGTGAAGTCAAGCCCTCCTCTCCTTTGATGGAATATTTGTCATTAAGAATCTTGTGCTGGCCTCAGCAGTGTAAAAAATTGCACTCAGTTGCCCTTCTGTCGTGGCGAGTACTGGTCCGGGAGCATCAAAATCTTGTGGAATATTCTGCAAAATGTCATGGGAATCACAGGCAAGGATTAATATCCTATAAAGATATATGGATATATATATATGTTTGAAATTCATCAAAAGGCCATTAGCTTTAAAGGACACACACACACACATATATTCCATGGCTCTTTAACACATGTTGTGGGGGTCATCATTTTGTCTTGAGAAGAGGATGGTGATGACATTGTCATTTGTGGTTGCTTTGTAGCCCGTGACAGATAATGCTCAAAAGCATGATCAACAAAAGCAAAATTTAAGTAATATGTATATGCATGCATGGTAACAAATTTAAAAAGCTGTCAACCTAATTACTTGCTGGGATTGAAATTTGAAACTGTCCAACAATAACTGTATATATGTAAGATGGGTTTTTTTTTTTTTACTTCTAAACACATATTATTTTCCCCGTGAAGATGTATAGTAAAGTAAATTAAATACAAACTCATCTTTGAATTTGATTCCGCTAATAAAGTAAAACACAATCATGCTTTGTCCAATTAATTTAATGGGGTTTGCCCGCGTTTCCAAATAAACTGCTACAGACTCATTCTAATTTTATTCTCTAATTTGAGATAAGGTTTAGTTTAGTTGCTTAATTTTATAAATAGATGAAAAGAGAGGGTGAGAAGGAATATATAACATGATTGCTTTGGTGATAAATGATAATGGAGGCAGAATCATGAGGCTCAAGGCATGAACCGCAATGATGGTCATGGGACTCAAGGTCTTCCTATTTCCCACCCCATTATTGTTTTGTTGAAAACTATATCCGTTACTGTTACTTCCTCATAATCCTTCATCAATCATAGTTAGCAATTTGTATCTAATGTAATTCACTAATTAAATCCCAAATATTTCTCATGATTTATTTTAGTTTAGCATTCACTTGCCCTTTATTACGTTGAATTTTGTTAGCTCGCTGCAGGGAATCATTACTTATCTTCTTTTCGAGGATTTCGCCCTTTTTTCATTATGCCGGCTTCTTAATTCCTCGCAGCCTGAAGAACTTCTGGGTAACAATAATTATAATATAATGAACGTAAAAACAGTAGTCAAACTCCTTCTTTATTATATTAAGCATAGATATGTCTCTTATTAATAACAGTACGTACCACGCATATACCTTTGTCAACTCCATTGCTTTGATTTGATCAGAAAAAATTAAGCACAAGTTTCAATTGTTTAGTGTGTATGTGTCTCTCTCTCTACATATATTTTTTGACAAGACTCTCTCTCTCTCTCTCTCTATATATATATATATATATATGTATGCATGTTGATACAGCTGAATGTTCTAAAAATGATGAATTCTGATATTTTTGGGGATAGGGGCGGAGGTTATCCCGTTCACACACTCTCAACGGTGATAGCTGCTAATATTAGGGGGGGACAGCTATACAAGGTAAGTGTTGAAAAGTTTACCGAATCTGAATTTGCTTCCATTATCAGTGATGAATGGAATCCAAAGTCTCCAATATTGCCCAAATCAACTTGTGACGACTGATGAGTGAGTGTGACTTGACTCTCTGTTCATGACTTTGGCAATCATTTATCTTCAATCTTTATTCTGGATATAGCCCTAGAAAGAAGAAGGCCACCGCACTCAAAAAATATTAATAAAGCGCCCAATTTTGCAACTCTCTCTCTCTCTCTCTCTCTCTCTCTCTCTCTCTCTCTCTCTCACACACACACACACACACACACACACACACACACGCAGATCACTAGTGTGTGCGTGTGTCAACACTTACTTCCAAACAAATCAATACAATATATAAATATAATGATCTTCCTTTCTTCATTTTGTCCACATGTTTTTCCTCCTTAGAGTTTCGGATTGTAGAGATTTCAACTCCCACACACCTGAACCTATTTGGGCGCGTAAACTTTGAGCTCAATAAAGCAACAAAATTAAAAAGGATTATGGCTTAGAAATCCATGATGTGTACGTACATTATTTACTTAATTACATATACTAATTATGAGGAAAATCCCTTCAATTAATTTGTTGGTTAGGTGATTAATATTGTCATAGAAGTTGAAGTTTTGTTGTACATGTGATGTGATCCATCATTGGATCCTCCAAATTCTGAGTTAAGCAATTTGATGCCGGATCTTTATAGTAGTTGGTATTATTTTTTTAAAAAAATATAGAAAAATTTATTTAAATTATGTAAATGACAGATTGGTCTCACCAAGGCATAATTTCCTTGGAATCTTAAGTGATGTTTCTATCATTAGGAAATTATGCGAAATGAGACTTTTTCCTTTTATTCATATTAAAAAAATTCACAACTTTCTATTCACAACTTTTATTCATATATTAACAATTTTTTTTTAAATTTGCAATAATTTAATAGCTATTCGCAAGTCCTGATCATCAGGTCTTAATATGCATTAGGTATTGAAAATTCATAACTTTTCATTTATAACTTTTGTTCCCACATTAACAGCTTTTGTGTCTAAATTCACAACAATTCAATAGTTATTTGCAACTTTAGAAATTTTTGTTTTATTTGAGGGTAGTTTGGTCATTTTTTAATTTCCTAATGAAAAAAAATCCTACGAGACTCCAGAAAAATTATGCCATTTGGTATAATCAATCTATCATTTATATAATTTAAATATATTTTTCTATCATTTTTTCTATTTTTTGTTGAAATAGTAGTTGGGATTATTATTAGTAATGTAATATATCTAACGGTTAGAGGGGTTGAGCTAAACCCATAATATCTAAGCACTACATCTATTCACTATTATAAGATATTCTTAACTAAATTACATCATTTTCTAATGAGTATGTAGTTAATTGTTTTTAAAATTACACATTTTTTTTTATGTTTACTCCTATTTGAATGGGTGTCTCAATTAAAACATTTTGATAATTACACTCTTAATCAATGGTGCTTTTAAAAAAATTTATTAATTGCATCTTAAAAGACCCAAAATATCTTATATTTTTGAGTATTTTATCTTAGAAAAATGTCTTATATTTTTTTTAACAAAGGAAGTAGTTAGTTTAATTTGACAGGAAAAGAATCATGACACCCAACAAAAAAGACACGTTTAGCTGCATAAAATAAACATGGCTTTTAAAACAAAGAAGGAAACTTGGAGCATATTTGGTTTCTGTTTTTAAAAATATTTTTTATTTTTAAAAAAATAAAATAACTTATTTTTTATTTTTAAAAAACTTGAAAATAAAAAACTTTTAAATTTTTTTATTTTATTTTTAAAATACATTACGTTTGATTATTAAAAATTATAGTTCCCTTGACTAATGATTATCATAAGCCACTATCATTAACAGCAGGTAACCATTACTAACAATCAATTTTTCAGCTCTAAAATTCTTTTTATATTAACATAACTAAAAAAATAATTTTTTTATTTTGTTTCAAAAAATAATTTTAAAAATTGTATTGCAAAATAATTTTAAAAACAAAAACCAAACACACTTTTGTTCTCAGGTATCACAGGACAGAGATATACTATCAATTATTTTTTTCAAAAACTTATCTCTCCTTAAAAAATGTAAATATTTTTAATCAAATCTCACTTTTCAATAAAATAGTTATTTGTCTTTAAACTAATATCATATTTTCATATTTATCCTATTTAACAGGATATTTCACTCTAATATAAACATAAAATAATTTTTATTAGGGGCACTTTTAAAAATAAAGGTAATGATTATATTTTAAAATAATAAAAATGCTTTAGATTTCTTAACATCTAACCTCTTAAAAAATGCCTTACATTTTTTAGCAGAAGGATTAATTGTTAAGAAAATTTTATTTTGATAATTAATTTTAGTTAAGAGCAAGACTGGAAAGTCAATTTTTTCTTATAGAAGTAGAATATTATTAATTATCATTTCTTAAAAACCATCAAGGTGGTTAACTTCACCCTATAACTAGGATTAGAGGAGTATTTGTTTCATAAATTTACAATTTCCTCAACTGAACAGCAATTATTGTGGGATGTTAATAGTAAAATGTTAATTTCATTTCTTTGATCGATAATCAAATTAACTTAAAATGTAATGTAAAAAAGTGCAACAAGGAATGAGAATCTAAGTGTGCTTTGGAAATAGAAAGTGATGATGAAAACGGAGCCCTTGAATGAGGGGGAAAAGAAAAGGGGGGAAAAAAGAAAAGAAAAAGAGGGGAATGAATATAGTTGATGCAGACCTTGGGATAAAGTCAAACTTTTAGAACCTTTTAGAATAGAAGCGCTTCAATTGCTTGCAAGTGAAACAAAGCATCCTGTAGTAAATTAGTCATGATCAAGATGTACCAACCAACTGGCTGGATAGCTAGAGATCACTCGGAGATAAAATTAAAAGGGACACTCATCAATGTAAATATTATAGCTAGCTAGCGTGTTGCGTAAAAAGGGTCCCCCAGCAACCAAATCACGTGCTTAGATGCATCAAAGTTTGTATATATACAGACCTCTTTAATATATATTAATTATTAAACAACCACAGCAATCATAATGGTAAGAGATTCAGATTTAAAAGTTTTAATTTAGATTATAAAAGGAACATATGATGAAACTATATATTAGACAATAGTAAAAAAATTTAAAAAAAATCAGATCTTAAAGTTATGATCAATTTATTATTAACAATAAATTTTCATGACGAAAGATAATATATATTTCCGAAACATGGCACACGCAGAAAAGTACAACCAAAGCGAGAGGGTACAACCAAACTGATTTGATGATTATATTCTGAATCCCATTTGCTTGATCTCCATAACCAACACTCCAACCTCTCTTCTTCTCATCTCTTTCTTCTCTCTTCACCATCCTCTCCTGAATCAGAGCCCCATGTACCCAAATATTGAGCGCATTTTCTTCTCAAAAGAGAATTCTGATGAAGATGTCGGCATAAAACCCGCTCTCCAGTTTCAAAATCATCACTTCATTGAAAGCGTCCCAAAATGTTCCCAGTCTAGGGCGATTTCTGACTCTCTGGGATTACAGCCGTCAACGAGACTGGATAATCCAATTTCCAATCTCAATCAGAGCCAGTTTGACAGAAGAAACAGCTCCCAGCCTCATTCTACAGCCCAAAAAGAAAAGAAGAAAGAAAGAGAAGGAGAAGGGGAGGGAGGAGGATTCTTGTTATTATCAAAAGAGAATAGCAAGCTAAAGGCAGAAGAGGAGGAGGAGGAGGAGGAGGAAGAGGAGGGGGAGGAGGAAGGGTTCAGAACTCCAACTACTTTGGATCAAAGAATCCCAGAGGCCAAACAGTGCCCGCCAGCACCCAGAAAACCCAAGCCATCTCTGAAAAGAAAAGCACCCCACACTCTCGCTACTGCCCCAATTTATCTTTCATCCAAAGAGGTTCAGCTATTGTTCCCAGTTCAACACAACCCACTTTCCGATTCCCTCAGAATCACCAAGAAGATTCGAAGAGATGACCCCAACTGATCTGATTTGGTTCTCAAAAACTACATGCTCCATGGTTTCCATGTGTACTAATAAGGTGCAAGTGCAAAATTTTGCTTTTTAGCTCCCCCCCACCACCCCATTTTTTTTTTTTACCTGCCATTATTGGTGGTTTGAAGGTTGGACTTCTCTATATAACTCTCCTGGACTTCTGGTGTTTAAATTATGACGCTTGGTGATTTGGGATGTGCATGACAAAGAGAGTTGCGTAGAACGTACTAACTATCATGGGGGTGGTCAGGAGTTGAATCCCCAGACCGGTGAACAATTTAGAAGATCTTCGCTCACTTGATGTATATTTTATGATAATTATGAGTTATTAGCTGTAACTTTCTCCTTAATGATAAACCACTTGATCTCCGGAGAGTTTTCACTTCTCCTTCATTGTTTTTATCGTGTTCGGTTACTAATTGGTATTGGTAGGAATGATGTAAACTTGTGAAGTCGAAGAATTGCAAAAGATCAGATTGGGGAGGGGGGTGGATATAGAGAGAGGGGGATATCTGTGTGATTTGTAATAATTCCAAGCTTTCATGATTATTAGCTTCTTCTTTTTTTGAGTAAATGATTAATTATTAGCTACTTTTGTGCTTTCTCTCCATTTCTTTTTATCATTCGTTTCTACCATCCATACTATTATCAATGCAGAAAAATATAAAAAAATAAAAATATATAAAATTTTAAATATATTCTTATATAAAAAAATTTTTAAAAGTGATATCATATTACTTTTTTTCTTTTATAAAGAGTAATTTTAAAAATATTTTTTAAATATTATTTAAAAAATAGCATTATAACTTATAAATAAGATTAAATAAACTTTTAGAACGTGTCGGATAAATGAAACTAGAGGGAGTACTTACTAATTGCTATGTACGCATTTCATCAGCTATAGTACTATAAAGGAAGAGAAGTTTATTCTGATGCATATTTCATTTATTGCATAATCAGCAAAATCTATGTTATGATTTACTCTATATGATATTCATCTCTTCGAGCCTTTAAGATTCTTGGCTCTTGCTTTCTTTATGAAAACTGACAGATTCTTTCTTCGATTCTACGTTGTACATAAGGTAGTCTTCAGACTCTAGGGAAGAAATAAAACAAAAGGGGGGAAAAAGTACAAGGAGGTTGCGGAATTGATGCGTCAATGTGCATAACCTTTATTACTGCATAAAAAGTGAATTAATTAACTTGATAATCGCAATCATAAGTTTCATAATAATATAATCCGTATCTACACACACACACACACACACTAATATACAAGTTACGGCGAAAAATCTTACGAGTCGTCCTTATTGACAAAGTTTTTCCTCCTTGCCTATGCTATCAAGTCAACCATTTGAGGATCCTTTACTGGACACATATACATATATGTAAACACATATATCAGAATAATTGCATATCCAAAGTACATATATAGATCAGTGCAACGAGAAAACTCAGATTAACTTGACATCATGATGCGCATGATTCTGACATTTCATGGCACTGGGGCTGGACTTCCATCCGCATCTGTGTGTCTGGAAATGATGACGAATTCCATTCTAAGACAGGATATCGATCGAGTGAAAATTACGATAAAGAAATAAGTGAATCTCATTTAGAAGGCCCCAGATCTTTCATACATGTATTTTCTTTCCGTATAAATTACCTGTAAATTGAAGAATCCAATTTGAAGTGATTAAGATCAAGAAGAGAGAATTCAAAAGAAGCCGCTGCTGATCCTTTTAGGCAACCCAAAATTCTGATAGCACCTAATTTCACCCCCTATGCTGGCCGTCGCAATCACCAGGCCCCACGCTACAGGATAGCCTGATGACGTGGCTGCTTGGCTATTATCAGTTAGAAGGCGAAACGAAGACCTCGAAGAGGTCGGAGCATTGGTAGCAGATATAGCAGACGGATCATCTTGCCTCGTCGAGCTGGCTGAATCCGAAGCCAACGACTCTGTTAGCGATATGGCCATGGGATCCACTTCTTGGCGATCATCGGGACCACTTTCAGCGGCGGTGCAACTAGCACTATCACTGTTATCAGTACTTTCGGAGCTATTTTCATCGTCGGTGGTATTTTTCTTGGGAGGGAGAGGCGGCAACGTCGTGGTGCCGTTGTTGGGCGGTGAATCGGCGGCGGCGTCGGTGTTAGGTTGATCTGTGGCGGAAGGATCTGATTCCTTCTTGTTGGGAAGAGGGGGAAGATTACCTCTCTTGCTGTTATCATCTGAAGGGCGTTTGGAAGTCTTCTTGTTAGCTTGAGGGGGATCGCCCTTGATGGTGAAAGGCCATGGCACTGCCACAGAAACATCCTTGCAGGGGAAGCTCTCAAAAGCCCTAGTCATAACTAATGCTCTTGCTTTTGCGTTATTGCCTCCTTGTCGAGGCTCTTCGTACTTCCACATGTATACCTGAGAATCTTCGCTCGCACTTATCACGTGTCTTCCACTCGGACTGAATGAAGCCGCGATTTGACTGTTTGAATTTCGGAAACCTGCTAACGTGCCCGGTCAAGACCATACACATATTGTATCCAAAGAGAGATTCATAAATTTTGACCAAAAAAACCAGAGAGATTCATAATTTTCATTTTCTAACCCATGTGATTAGTACTTTGTTTTCTGAACTAGATGAAATATAACTGTAAAAACATCTCTTATTAAGGAAAGGTATTTCTTGTTCAAAGATATATACATGCTCTATCTATTTCATTCGAGAATCTTAAATATATTATTTGACCCATTTTTAACTCTTTAAAACTATGTCTTTCATCGCTCAAATATATGACAAAACATGGCGAATATATGTTCTCTAAAGTTGGAGTGCCGAAAAAAGAAGCCTTGAAGAAATGAATTTATAAATTGTACATTTCTAAAATTTAGGAGCGTATAAGGGCGTGACTAAATGACTAAACTACCGATATGTGATTATGAAACATGAAATTAAAGAATACATATATATATATATATATATATGAATATATTTTAAGTCAGGTTAGTTAAACAGAATAATTAGTAACCGATCATGATCATGGCTTGTGATAGCACCTTGGAACTTATGAACAACTTTTGTGCCTTCTACAATTTTAATCCTGGCATCAGCTGAAGTGACAAGCACTTCTGACGGATTACTCGGTGCGAACTGCAAAACATACAAAGCCGCCAACTCATTTACATTCTCCTTTTTATAGTATGAAACAGGCTTCACAGCTATCAGCTATTGCTCATTAAAAATCAACAATGCTATAATTACCTGAAAACCAGTGATTTTTCTCAGCGGAGCTTTCTTTCTCTGCTGTAAATCAATTGTGCTTGTTTGACTTAGTTTGCAGTCTGCAACAGGAATTCATGATATGTCAAAGTTTTGCAAGAAGGATTTATGATGATTGCCAAGCCGAGGGTATATAAAGAGCAAGGGGTTGTACCTTGTGTGCCATACATACAACAAGTCCCATTATGTGTACCAACAAGAGCAGCCTGTAGCATTGATAGTTTATGCAATCATTATGTTAACCATTATTTTCATGGATCAAGGTTAGCATGTGTTGGAGTATTAAATAGGAGGAATGACTACAAAGTCTTAAAACTCAAAATTTATGACAATTAAGTCATCAATAAAAATTTTTAAAAAATAAGTTATAAATATTAATTGAAACAATTAAAAATTCTGAACTTATAACTATATGAATCAATATTTATAATTAATTTTTTTAAAAAAATTATTGAAAATTTAACTGTAAAAAATTATGAGATGTGGGATTTTTTTAATGTAACTTTTCTTATGAAAAAGGGCCCACCTGACCGTCAGGAGTGTAAGAAACGGCGGTGACCATTTCATGAACGTCGGCCCAATCCACGACTTGCCGTTGAGGAATGCTCCATATTCTAATCTTAGCATCCAGGGACCCACTTATGAAATAATCCTCGTCTATTGGATTGAACTGTACGCACGTTACTGTGCCCCGCCCAACAACAATTACATGTATGGAGACACTTGAGGCAATTATTTCATTTCGTTTAAATTCAAACGCTCACCAAATATTTAAAACAACACTTTTTCCCCCGTAAAAGAACCAAAACGTATGGCAACCTTACCATAGTCATTATGGGTGAACACCTTCAAGCAGGACTTCAATTCCAGGTCCCATAGTCTCACTGTTTTATCCATTGAAGACGAGAGAAGCAACTGCAGTGATTCCAACTTCAGTAAATTATTCCCGTACTTAAAAAGACATAAAGAAAATTATAGTATAGTTTCTCATACTTAGCTTGCTTAGACGTTTATTGAGTGATAAAAAAAACATCAACATGCATAAAATCTCCTGTTCTCCAGGGATTTCAACTAATGTAAGTAAATCTTGGCCCTTCCTTAAAACATGCAAGAATTTGCACAACAATGAAACATAAAAAATAACGTGTTTGGGGAAAAAAAAACATTAAAAAAAATAGTGCCCTGACCTGACTTTTGGACCAAGAAAAATCCAAAACGTCTTCAGAATGGCCTAGGAAAGTGCAGAAGGGTTTATCAGAAAGGGAGAACACGGTCTCCGGCACATGAACGTGCTCCGGAACCTTATCATCTTTTTTAGTCCCGGGTTTGCCTTTTTTCTTGGCTGCCACCTCCTCCTCCATCGCCCCCTCTTGGGCGGCCGACGAAGCAAGCAGCGAGGGATGAAGTGGAGTGAGATTCCCTTCCTCCGCGGTCAAGGACATGAGCTCACACTCCTGCACTTCCCACACGTGAATCACCTTATCCTCGCCGCCACTTGCCAAATAACGGCCGTCCCAGCTAAACTTGATGATCCAAATACCCCCCTCATGAGCCTGAAATTCTTGGCACATGTGCAACGCTGAAAGCTCTTTATGAGTTTTCCCGCTCTGCCTCACCCTAACCCATTCGTTGTTCTTATTCTGCTTCTGATTTGGATCTGAGCTAGCTGCTGGTTGTGGTGCAGAAGGAGGTAGGGGAGGCAAATTAGGAGGCGTTACTTCATTAATGCTCTCCGATCTCTCTCTTTCGCCGATGAATCCGCTTGCCACGCCCTTTATGTTCTTCAACAGAGCAACCCCAGTTTTCTTGCTCATTCTCAAGCTCTTGTTCAGGTAGTAGTTTGCGCTCGGCTTACTCTCGTCATTTTTTTCTCTCCCGCGTCGCATGAGCTCTTTAACGATCGGTGAGTGCCCTACAGATTTCTCGAACTCCTCCATCGTTAGTTTTTTTCCTGTTTGTATGTCATTCAGACTGCTCCATGTGCCGTCGTTGCCAGGGTCCTTTCCGGTGACAATGAACTCTTTTCCGGTGTCGAGGTTCTTGATAAGGAAGAAGGAAGCGAATCTAGTATTTGACACGACCGTGGTTAGTTTGCGGTCATGTTGGCGCCCAGATTGGTTATCCCCTAAAGCACCTGAACTGGCCTCCTGTTTCATTGTTGCAGCAGAGGCTGGGCCATAGTATGTGTAGGGGCACATGCGAGGACGAGCGAGGGTGATCTCTGATGATGTTCTTGTCAGACGCTGCTTTGAGACCTTACCTGTAACAAGCAATTAAGAGTAGCGATCAGCATAATCACATACCATATTCTTCTCAGGAAAAATGAAAGAACCAGCGCTAATCAAGCACTATTTTAGTAACCATACCTACTAGTTCCTCCTTCCTCATTCTAGGCAAGGAATAAGTATCGCAATCTATGTCACCGTCAGAGCGTGACCTGACTAGAACGAATGGCAGAGGGGAATGCTCTGTTTTATGCTCATCCGCCGACGGTGGTGAGGGTGGTGACTCAGATATAGTTTTATGCTCTGTTTTATTCTGATCACATGAGGCAGCAGTTTCAGCATTTGTAGCAGCAGCAGCATTAGTTTCAACAGTTACAGCAACAGCTGCACCCCTAGTATTAGGAACGGTAGCCTCTGTGGACTTACCGAGCGCACTGGGCTCAGCTGGAGCATGATTTTCAAACTTCCTCGTCATTGCACGCCCGATCACTATGCTCGCCAACCTCAAGCTTTCCTTGTTCTCGTTTAGGCCCATTCCATAAAGCAATCGTCTTCTTCGTTCAGTGATCGATCCTGGTGCTGCCATCCATATGTTGTAGTCGAAGTCAGGGATCGCCATCGCCATTGGCGCCATCGACGCTTTTCTTGTCATGATTCTGAATCTCTGAGAATTTGCTGAGAAGGACATGCGGCTTTCTTGGAATTCCTCATCCTCATCGGACGACGAAGCACCGTCCAAGCTTTCAAAAAAGTGCTCATCGTCATTGTCATCATCAATGCCTTTCCAACTCATGGTCATTGTTTTCTTGCGTTGCATCTTAGATGAAAGGAACTCTAATCTAACGCAGGAAGATAGAAGATGCAAAGGTCTTACATAAATATTACAATGCAGCCAAACATTGAATTTGGTGAAAAAAGATCATTGAAGGAAAAGTGAGGAATAAAGAAATAACATAGAAGAAAGGTTTTGGATATTACTATAATTTTTTACTTTCTTTTTTCATTCGATTGATCTTCGATAGATGTATGGGGACCAAGAAAGAAGTGGAAGAGAGGAAATGCGGGAAGAAGAGGAGGTTCGTTTAGCTTCAGAATTTTGGAGGCAAAGAAACTGTCAACGGTTCTCTTTTTCTTCTGCCAATCATTTTCTTGGCACCTTTTTCTCATTTGAAAAATTATCAGTCAACTTGCTTATTTTTCCTTGGGTGATCTTAGAGACAGATTCTCACTTTAATGATTAAAAATTGAGTGAGTGTTACCCCAAAAAAAGGGGATGCAAATATAATGGCGCATTTAATGGGTTTTGCTTTACAAATTATCTTTTTTTTTCCTTATTTAATCATTGTTACATTTTTTTTAATTTTCATTAAATTGTTGGTTTCAAAATTTATGTTTGATTGATTTCCAAAGATGTTGAACCTCTTCTCTTCTAACAAGTTACTGTTGAATTTAATTTTGGATGCATAAAAGTGGTACAAGAATTAAGGATATACTCCAATAAAAGTCAAAGAAAAAAGCAAAAAAAAAAAAATCTAAAAGACATGAGAGGAAATAAAAAGAATTTTGAAGACACTATTTGTGTTGTGATCAAAAGTTCAAAACATGAAAATGGGAAGTAAATAAGCAGGTGTCCTCATTCGGCACCAAGAGCTCATCACTCAAAATGCACTGTTTTGAGTGAGTGAACAAATCTGAGCATTGGTTCTTAAATAATATCGATCATATTTTTTAAATTGATATTTTGTTTTTTTTAATTTGTTATTCCTCTTCCTCCCTAAATCAAAAGAACCAGACATGCTAGAGCGTCTGCACCAGAGACCTATGACAGTGTCAGCAAGGCAAAAACCTTCTACGATTTGTGAATTTTGAAGAACGAGAGGCCTGACCATTGATAGAGGTTGGGGTTTTGCTAATCCAACATCTGCGAGTTACAAATCTAAAGAGGTTGGTGTGTGCATATTAATTTTTTCAATCGGCCAATCTTTGTTAATTTCAATCCATTCAATAAGCATGTCCTTCTATTTGTTTGTTTTGGGTATAATAATCCATCAACGGAAGCTATGTAATATCCTATTTTATGGACTGCCAACTACCATGTGAGAATATAATGTGTTTTTAGAAGCTTTCTTGTTGGTTCTTCTTCCTGCTCTTATTCAACTTTGTTGCTTTAGTAGATGAAGTGGAAAATTTTAGACCAGGTCATTACAGATTACTAGACTATAAATTAATCTTCCACATTGTTTTCCATTGGCTAAAAATTCTAGATGCCGTGTGGTGTAGGACCTTCTTGAGTGTCTTCTAACTATTTGATTAATGACAGTTTAATGTTAGAAAGAATAAGCAAAATGAAGTGCAGTATGAGTATGTAACAGATAACTAAGACATTTTAATCAAGAAATAAAATTGAAACAGATTTAAATATAAACTACAAATTTAAGAGCATGTCATATAGGAATCGTAATTTTTTAGTGTTTCTGGGATGCTACCAGATATGTGATTGGCGTAAAGATCCAAGGTCACCAAATTTGTCAAATTTCCAAATTTAGGTGGGATTTTTCTAGCTATATTGTTACTATAAAGCTCCTTGGCATAGATGATTATTGATCTTAGAGCCTACCTTATGACTTTCGATCTTTGTTCAATTTTAAAACTTATTCATTCGTTCCTCTTTATAAGTTTTTTTTTATCAATCTCATCAATATCAATGCAAAAATAATAAAAAAGAATAAAAGTGTGTAAAATTTCAAATATGCCCTTATATAGCAAATCTAAAAAACAACATCATATTACTTGTTCTCTTACATGAAAGATAATTTTAAAAATACTTTTTAAATATTACCTAAAAAGTCACTTTATAACTTATAAATGAGACTAAATAAAAATTCTAGAATGTGTCTTATCAATGACATTGAAGGTAGTATGTTTGAAGATGAAATAGATACAAAAAATGAGAATGATTTCAAACCTTAAGTTCTTGAATCATTTAATATTATTCCAGCCTTTGAATCCTCCTATGCAAAGCTAGAACCAAAAAACTTATGTACTTGAGTTATTATCATGAACTATGCTATCTATCTAGGAGTTGGCTTCTCTCTATTTCCTTCCCTCTCCATTTCCTCTCCACTTCTCATCTCAACCATTAGATCTATTTTTGAATGGTTGTGATTTGATCTTTTATAAAATTATTATTATATTTATTTTTCATAAAATTTCACATTTTAATAATAATTTTATAAAATATTAAATCTCAACCATTCAAAAATAGATCCAATGGTTGAGATGAGAAGTGGAGAGGAAATGGAGAGGAAAAGAAATGGAGAGAAGCCAACTCCATCTATCTATTTATTCCTAAATCTTGTGATTAATTACTAGTTGTTACTATAATCAGATCAATTTTCTAATTCATGATGTTTATATTCTAAGGCATCTTGCTCCTCCTCTAGTTGTTTAAGAGACTGAATTATCTTGTGGAGCAATTACACATTAACAACTCTTGTTGTCCTCCATGTTTACGTTTGATAAAAATTTGTTCAAGTCTTATTTCACATTCCTCAATTTGAAAATCAATAGCTCCTTCATAAGAAAGCCATTTGTTTGAAGTGTGAATAGCAACAATCAATTAATTCTCTTAGCATATGTAGATATGTAGGTTGAACATGGTTCTTACCCTTAGTGCATATTTCATTTGTAGGAATAATTAAGGAATGAGTTTGGACTTAAGAAGGCCTTTAAGAGCAGAATGGACATATATAACACTAAAAGATATATGCACAAAATAAGTTATCTTGTAGTAGAATGGACATTTACAATAATAGATTGACTAAAAAAATACAATTAAAAGAGGAAGGCTGAAAACTGTCCAACAATGAATGGAGATTAATTGTAGTCCAACAAAGCAAAGCAAGTGCTTTAACCATACCATGAAGTCATGTGGGAAAGCCATTTGTTTGAAGTGTGAACAACAACAATCAATTAATTCTCTTAGCATATGTAGATATGTAGGTTGAACATGGTTCTTACCCTTAGTGCATATTTCATTTGTAGGAATAATTAAGGAATGAGTTTGGACTTAAGAAGGCCTTTAAGAGCAGAATGGACATATATAACACTAAAAGATATATGCACAAAACAAGTTATCTTGTAGTAGAATGGACATTTACAATAATAGATTGACTAAAAAAATACAATTAAAAGAGGAAGGCTGAAAACTGTCCAACAATGAATGGAGATTAATTGTAGTCCAACAAAGCAAAGCAAGTGCTTTAACCATATCATGAAGTCATGTGGGAAAGCCATTTGTTTGAAGTGTGAACAACAACAATCAATTAATTCTCTTAGCATTAATAGATATGCAGGTTGAACATGGTTCTTACCCTCAGTACATACTTCATTTGTAGGAATAATTAAGGAATGGGTTTGGACTTAAGAAGGCCTTTAAGAGCAGAATGGACATATATAATACTAAAAGAGATATGCACAAAATAAGTTATCTTGTAGTAGAATGGACATTTATAATAGTAGATTGACCAAAAAAAATTAAAAGAGAAAGGCTAAAACTGTCCAATAATGGATGGAGATTGATTGTAGTCCAACAAAGCAAAGCAAGTTCTTTCCTACAAAAAGAACCATACCATGAAGTCATGTGCTCCAAGAGATGAGATGGGGATATATAAAAAATATCCAAGAAACTTATGCAATGCTGATGCATTCAAAAAAAGTAGCTAGCAATCTATCCTGTATCTACTTTAATGTCATGTATGAAGAAGAAATTGTAACTTGTAATGTTTATGTAGTGTGATGGCCATATGTAATGATATATGTATATAGCTAGCGAGTGAACAAAAATTGTGAAATAAATAAAAGCTTATTCTTATGCAAGTTGTGCCCATCTACTCTTCTACTGAATACCTTATAAATAATTTGTTGTCATCTCTATGGCTTCAAGAGATGGGATTCCATTTTTTTAGGCTCCTACATTCCAAGTATTAATAGTTTTTGAAAACTATATATAATTATTAGTAATAACTTATTTATTGATATTTACCAACAATAAGCTTGTAAATGACAATGCTTGGGATGCAAATGGTGGAAAAATATATTAAGTTAGAGTTACTAAGTATGAGAATGTTGACTCTTGAGTTTATACAAGTTTTGTTCAAATTATTACCGCTTGTGTCTTTATAAATTTGTTTTTTTAATCTTTTCTTCTTTTCCTACAAGATGGTACCTCTTGAATGCCCCACACAAGATAAATATAAAATTAATAACAATTTCTTTTTGTATTAAATGTAATTTAAATAAAAACTCAATACCTCTTAGTCTTTTATAAGTCATCTTCTTATCATTAATTTTTTTTTCTTCCTAAGGTTTATAGTGTTGCTTTCTTTTTCTTCCTTCTCTTTTTTTGAATCCTTTAGGCATATTTTCAGAGTCTATGATTGATGATCTACTTGGTTTAGCAATAGCATCTTTATTACTATCCGAAATTTCATTTTCTAATTTAATGATGCATCTTTGAATACGCTCAAAACTTTCAAGATTCTGCGTTGCCTTTATTGCCAGAATGCCCATTTTATTCATTAATCATCTATATATTTGTATTATTTCAAGTATTGGGTCTGCTTTTATCTGACACCCTCCAACATCATGTACAACATCACTTCTTGCTTCTCTGGTTTTTCTAATTCTCACATCCTTTGACTCTTATACTTTCAACGCATAACAACACAATATTATAGTGGTCTTAAACATCTGACAAGTGCAACAAATTTCATGTGTGTTAGGTTTAAACTCAACTCTCCATTTTCCCCTTTCATCAATCATGTGGGCAGTGTATATATATGATGGTCCTTTCTCATTACGGTTAATCAACATCATAGAGAATTGGAGGCTCTACTGTGCTTGGAACATGTCAAAGGAAGTAGGAGTACAAGTTAGCACAAGTTGGTGCAACATAGGCATACTTTGATTAACCATCTTCAGGATTTGTTGTTAAGAATCAAACTCAAGTTTCAATTCCTTGTCTTGCTTTTTTCTACAGCTTTGTCAAAAGTGGTAAAGAATTCATTGATATCTAAACTCAGTGTTGTGCATCTCTTCACATTAGCATTCACACTTTTACTAAGTTGTGCACTTCTCATACCTAATGCACAATGATTCTTTACATAACACCAAGCCCATTTCTCTTTGATATTATACATGGATATCAACCATGTATCTTCATGGACATCATAAGAAGAGATTAATTGGCTCCAAACTTCTTCAAACTTGTCTTCTTTTGAAATTTTAGACATGCATTTATAGAAGTTAGTTAGCAAATATGATCCATCTTTCATTAAGTTTCCTAAGTTTTTTATGCCATTTTGCTTTAAATGCCAAGTACACAAACAATGTTTTTTGTTAAGAAGAACATCACTCAAAGCTCTCGCCAAAGTTTGATCTTGATCTATAAACACAGTTTTAGGCTTCTCTTGCATGTGAGCATCTAAGAAAGTTTCTAATAGCCACTTAAAAGACACAATGGTTTCATCATACAATAATGCTGCTAAAAATGGCCATACTTCCATAATGATCAAAGCTAGAAAATATTGCAAGAGGTTAATCATCACAATTCGTGCAATACATTGCGTCTGGAGATACAATCTCACCAAAAAATGCATAGTCTATTAGCATTATAGCATCTGCCCAAAACACATTGGGGATTTGTTTCTCTATATCTACTTGATATTTGTGGTAGAATGTAGGATACATTGCAAGTTATTTTTGAAAATATTCAAATAGACACCTTATATCTCCATACTTCATGCTTCTTTGCCTTTGTTTCTGTAAATAGTTTTGCATATTTACTTGAGTATATCCAACATTTGAATTACCTCCAACATATGTAATCATTAGGTCAAAAGTAAATTTTTGTTGGAGCCTAGACTTTCTTGCTAGATCAATCCCACAAGCATCAACTTTTGATAAATTTATTTGAGATGCTAAGAAGTCCTTTTTGATAATATGGATAAGGGGGGTTATGTTCTTAAACAAATTTAGTGATTTTATACTTTTAATCAATGAAATATATTATCATTCTTACCTTATAGTTTGTCCTTATCTCTGCTTGATACTTAGAAGAATATGTCTCCTTTTTACTTTCTTTTTGATAACCTTTGTCACAACATACATATCTATATGTAATATACTTGATGGATACATATGTATATGTAATAAGTGAACCATCCTTTTCTACTATTTGTACCATTGTATTTTATAGGTCTAAACCTAGTGTTTTTAACATATTTTTGCTATAATTCTCATGCCTCTTCTCAACTTCTAAACTCTCTTTCTATTTCGGGTTTCAATTCGTCCTACATTGTAAAGTCTCTATGCAAAATAGAATCATTATATATATATATATATATATTTAAATAATATCAAATCTTCAATTTTTTAAGAAAATTCATAACAAGATAAAATTATAATATTATTTTTTTATATTTAACTCCTTTCAGGTTTATATATATGGGCGTGTATTTAACTCCCTTTAAGTTATGTGTGTGTGTGTGTGATAGTATCAGTTTCAACTTCTTCTTTTTAGTTTCAACATTTTATGTGTATGTGTATTAGCACCCATTTCAGGTTGTATATGTTATTTGTTTTCATGCATTTCATTCAATATGTGCGTGCACGCGTGAGTAACTAGTATACTGGATCCCACCTTTGTCTTCTTCCTTCCTCCTCTTGTTGAGCTTGTAGTGATCCATTTCTTCCTTCCTCCTCTTGTCTAGCTTGCATCAATCCATCTATTCCTTCTTCATCCTCAATTTGGAAACAATCTCTTCTTTCTTCTTACGTTGTTTCAATGCAATCTCTTCCTTCTTTATGCCCTGTTTCTATGCCATCCATCTCTTACTTTGCTCTAATATGAACTTTTGTGGGAAAATTTAGAGAATGAAAACACAATCCCACCCAATTGTTGACCTATAGAGGAGTGAATTTTAAATGATCAAATAAATCAAATTATACTGCCACAAATGGTCAGGATGATCTCTACTTAGTCAAACAGAGCGTTTTGAATGATGAGCTCAGTGGTCATCATCGGTGGAATGAAAAAGCAAATAAGTAGATAGAGTTGGTAATTTAGACCAAGTCTGAACCTACTTGAAAATTTAGGGTAAAGCCTAAAAAAATTATTTTTTAATGTTTCACCCGAATAGGCCCAAGAAAATTTGAGCCAAGTCCAATAGGGTTTGCGCTTGGTTCGAATACTCGAATAAAAAAATAATTTTTTTAAAAAATATATAAAATTTAATAAATAGTAAGTAATTTTTTAAGTTTTATATCATTTTATACCAAAATACTATATATTTGAGTATATTATTATAGTTATTTAAAAAAATTAAAAATAGTTATATTTTCATATTTTTATTATTTTTAATCGATAAAATGTCTCAAAATAATATTAAAATATATTTTAATACTCCCTCCATTGAGGAGTTGGAAGCTAAAAAATATAAAATATTTTTAGTTTTTTGAAGTGTAATCATTGCCTTTTTTTCAAAAATATTTCTATTAATAACGGCTTTATATTTATTATAGGATATTTAATAGAGGTAAAGATAAAAAGATATGATTAATTTAAAAATAGGTAACTACTTTATTAGGAGATGAGATTTAATTAAAATGCCATACATTTTTTAACGAAGAAAGTATTTATTTTTATATTTTAAGACCCAATTTTTTTAATATTTTTTGAGTCCAATACATCATTTTGTTATAAAAAATTAATTTTATATTTTTATAAAATAAGATAATTAATTTTAAAGAAAAAATAAAATTAAAATAAAATTTAAGTATGTACGAATTTCTGACTCTACTACTAGATAAACATAATAAAGAGAATAATATTCGTGAGTAATTACTTGATTATTGTTCATACTAGACTTAATTAAAAATTAAGAATAAATTAGAGTAAACAATTTTTATATGTAAGGGTTAAGCAATATAAAAAATTAAAGAAAAATGATTTCAAAAATAACATTTTACTTATAACTAAATAATTTTGCTTTATATAATATCATGATGGCTATTTTTTTATATTTATAAAAATAAAAAGTATAATTTACTCAAAAGTTATTAAAAACTTTAACCAAATTGGGTTAATAATTTTAAGTTAGTAATTTAATTGTGACTGAATTGAGATCAATTAAATTATAATGAAAATAATATAATTTAATTAAAAAATATAAAAAAATTTGTATGTGACTATGATAAGAGTAATATTTAAATAATTAAGATATTAATTTATAAATAAAGAAAATATTCATGAATAAATTACACAAAATAAAACCAAACAATAACAGAATTACTTAAGTATAAAGTTAATAAGTTATTTTTTATTTTATTCTTTTAAAATTAAAATAATATTTTATATTTAATAAAATTATTTAAATTTAAAATTGATTTAAAAAATAAAAGAAAAAATATTTTAAAAAGTTTCAAGTATTCGGGTCAACTCGAATAAATTCAAAACCTGAAGGTATTAGGGTCGAGCTTGACTATATAAATTTTTTAGAGTATATATGATACTTTAAGTTTAATTCAAATAAGTAGGTTTGAATTGAACTTAATTTGAATAAGTTTTGTTCATTCGAATTATCGACTTTAAAGTGAATATGGTTCTATCTCAGGACGACGACGTTTAGATCCTCACCAGACGAAGCGGATTTGAATTCAAATAACCCGCGCATCTTACGATCTTCGGATTGCAGATGCAGGGTGGGGATTCACACTGTCACAGTCGAGAAGAAGCCTTATCTTCCTCGGTTAATCCGATCGCCCATCTGACTATCAGAGTCTCACTATGAAATCCGAACATTTTCTCTCTTCCGCTAGCCCTGAGCTTCTCAGTCGAAAACCCTCCTCTTAATTCCCCCCCACTTCAGAAAATGGCCTCCCCAATAGCTTACTCCCAAATCGACGATAAGGACCTCGACGACGCCGCTTTGTGGGCTGTCATTGATTCCGCCACTGCCTCCCGTTCCACAACCAAGTGCAAATCCCTTGCCATCAAATATAATAATACCACATCCCCATCTCCGATCTCAAAACCCTTGCCACCGACCAAGTTCCAGAGAATCTCGAGGGATTCCCCTTCAGCTTCCATCGAATCCAAGGCTACAGGCGACGGTGAAGTGGATCATGAGCCTTGGTCGTACCGGCCTCCTAGGAAGTTTGCAAGGATTTGTCCTTCAGAGACGAGCGAGAGTAGTCCACTGGCTCTGGTGAATAATGGGCAGCGAACGCCATCGGCAGCAGCTTTTTATTCGTCACGGGAGGCGCATCTGTCGCCTGAGATAGGGAGGCTTCGAGTGAAAGAGATTAGTCCTTATACAGAGGTCTCTCCAGGGTACAATGACAGGAGCGAGGAGAGGGAGATCACGATGTATGGATTTTCTGGGAAGTTCCCTTCAGTTTCATTGTTCAAGGAATACCAAAATACAGCCATGGCGGTAACTATTCCGATATACTTGTTAGTTGTTTGTATGTTTAATTAAGTATTGGTTAATGATAATGCGAAATTTGAACCTCAGAAGGATGCTTCATTGTTATAGAACGGAAGAGATAACTGAATTATATACTTGACATAAAGAAACATTGAGAGGTCTGTATTTAGGATCACTGTAATATATCTATTGTTCTGATAGTATAATGCTAGCAAGAAATCATAATTCTTATTATCATTTGCATCTTTTCAAGGCATTCTCTTGTGAGGCTTATTCATTTAATGTTAGCTGACCAACGTAAAATTTCTCATCTGCCATCAATCAGGAAGCTGGGTGAACGTATTTTTTTCCCTCCTGACTCTGATCCTATTTGAATAATCGCACACTAAGCTGCAGTCTTTTTAAATATCCTTACTGGTTGAAACCAAACCATATTTTCTTGGCAAACATAACTTATTCCAAGCATACTTGATTAGATATGTTCGACGACTTTGATTTGGTCATAATATTTGTAATCCAAACCCAAAGGTACATGAGCAGATGCTTTCAGATGGGGGCTAAATAAGTAATAAAATTTATGTCTGCGATCTTTCTGCATATGATATTGCAAATGTATCGCCAGAAGAAGTCATTCAAGTATCCAGTATTTTGACTTCTTGTGATTTGCAAGTAATCTAATGTAGGTACGGGAGTTTAGTGGTGGTAATTTTGTTCTCTTAGCTGCGATTTTTTTTTTTTTTTGGGTGCCCCTTTCTTAGCTGCGATTTGCCTAAACAATGCCTTGCTGATTGGTTGTGCCTTCAATTGACAGATTTTGGAGAAGACTGATTATACATTGATTTCGGGGAAGCCTTTCATAAAAAAGTCAGGTAAACGAAGTTTCTTCATTTTTCATTGAACATAGTAGATCAGGTCAAATGTAATACGGTGCAAGTGTTTCCTACAGGTTGGAGGAAGATATCTTGCTTCTTCAATATTTCTTTTGAAATTAGAGACAAGAATATTGAGTTTGATGAGAATCGTAATGTTCAGCGCGCTGAGTTTGTGGTTCGGGCATACATGCAGTATGTTTCTTGTTTGGTAGTTGCGATTCATGTCACTTCTTTAATTTCTTCTCATTTACACCACAATCACGTTGCCATTCTTTGGTTAACCCCATCACTATCAGGGGAGGCAGGTTCTCAGATGGATGGGGCTCTTGTGAGCGGCGTGAGAAGAGATTTCAGAAACCGAATCATGACGTACCTAGCACAGCAGAGACGAGAGCCAAAAACAAAGCATGTCAAGTAGGTCATCTTTTATCAATGTCGTAAATTTCCCTTTTTATACTTAAGTTATTCATCACTACATAGCTTTAGCTGCTTTCCCTCCACCTAAGGCCATGTTTGGTATGAAAGAATCATCCAAAAAAAATCAGAAATGGAAATGGAATCCTGAGAAAGACAAGTTTGGTACATTTGAATTGTGATTCTTGGGAATTCAGATTCAAGGAAATTTTCTTGAATTGGATTCCATCATAATGAGGATGGAATCGGTTAGATTCTATGGAATTAATCTTTTCAGACCACCATACCCTCTATCTTATCTCTGGCTTTTTTTTTTCTTGGTTTGATCACTCTGAAATCTTCCTCTGCTAACATTGGCATCGTCTCCCCTAGAAACGATGGAGTTTCTTTGAACAATAACAAGTATTCTGGTTTTGACATTGAGAAACTGAACACTTGCTCCCAATCTGGCGTATTGAATCCAAAGTAATCCTCCTTTGGCATGTCGAACTTGAAATAATCCTCCTTCTCTTGATTCACTTTCACACTCCCAGAATACATCTTCCACTTCAGCTGCCTTTGCCTCGCTTTCTTTCTCTAATTCTCATGCCCTTTGTGGCTTGGTCTCTTCACTGCAATTGCTTTTGAATTGCAGAACTGACGTGGAAGATGGTAGACAATGTGATTTGTTGTCAAAATCATAGCCGGAGCTGGACGCTTCTGACTTCACCACCACATTCATTTTCATTTTCACCGCCGCCTCTGCTTCGTCGGCCTTTTCTCTCGATGGAGGAGTCACAAAGTTTGTCAATGGGTCTGGTCCATGAATCTTAATCGCTGCATTATCATAAACCATAACCTTAAAGCACCCAACTCTAGCGATAAAGGCAAAGGCAGCTTGGAGGGACTTGCAGTCATGGATAGGGCCCAACTAGTTGAGGCAAGTGTCATCATGTGTCACGGCGGCGCTCACCCAAATCTGGGCATCGCTCATCTACATGCAGGATGAGGACTTGCAAAGGTGCTTGAGCTCGTGGAGGCTCTTGGACACTAGCCACCACCCACGACGTCTCCCCCCCCTCTCTCTTTCCCCTCTCTCTCCATGGCATCTCTCTTTCCATGCAGCTGAACTGTCGAGGTCGTGGGTGGTAGGAGAGGTGTGCTGGGACTTTTTTCTAGCAAGGGGGTATTTTGATATTTTTATTATTTTAAATACATAAATTATTAAAATTATATCGGATTCCATACTTATATCAAACAAACTTTTATAATTCAATTCAATTTCAATTTTAATTTCAATTTTAATTCTATTAAAAAATTTTTCATTATAACAAATGAGACTTAAATACTTCAAATGAGTTAAATAGCAGTCCATATAATCTTAAATTTACTTGTACTTCATATTGCTACATGGTCATGTGGCCAGCCAATATATGCCAAGTGTCTAACCTCGGATCATCTAATAAAACTTGCTTGTGCCATTAAAGCAACGACGATTTTACACCCAAAAAAAAAAAAAAGTTTCTTCATATTCATGTTCCCGTTACTTTAAACTTTATTAGCAACAAATCCACTTTCTCCACTGTGTGCCGCTTGTTAAAATGACTCTTTTTTATTAAAAACAAAAACAAAAACGAAAACCCCTTAACTTACTCTCTCTATTATGCCTGCCTTGAAAGTTTCATGTTCGCACGGGCCAAATTCAAATGCTAACTTATTTTACTAATTTCTGGTTCAATTATACTTTTCCAGGATTTGTTAGGAATTGGAGAATACCGATCTAGTGGCGGTGCAGGCTACGTTGGTTGATGATATTATAATATTACAGAGTACTGTTGATTGTGACGGTGTCCTCCCAGGCCATGAGCTTTTGCTTTTTGCCCAATTGTGTGTAAAGCTATAATATTCTATAATGGTTCCGAATGTATGAAAATATTAAATCTACAATACTATTGCAATAGGATCTTTTTTTTCCGTTAAGGATTTTGTTTTATTATGAAGTAATATTCTTTGAAAAAATACAAATAAATCTCTTGAAATGATAAAATAGTACCACAAAATTGGGTATTTACTATTTAGGTACTTATTTGTTAATTTCTTTTGTAAAATTATATTTTTGAACCTCTATAAAATAATAGAAAGTGTATTTATTAAAATCTAAACTAAAATTGTTAATACTGAATGTAAAGTTGTTAATGTAAGAAGCACAATTTTTATTGCATAATTAAATTAAAATTATGATTAATTATGTTGTTAATATTTAAATTAAAATTGTTAATTACTAAGATGAAGTTATTAATATAGAAAATATACTTGTTATTGCATAACTAAGCTAATGATTATGCTGCCTATATTAATAACATTATCTTTATCCTTAACAACTATGCCTCATTATTTTGCTTAGGATTAAAAATGTAATTTTACAAAAAACTTGTAAGATATGTTGGTCATTGAAAAGGAGGGTGAATTGGGTGTCTTTTGATTTTTTACCAAAAGCTTTTGATCACAGAAATTTGAACTATGAATATTGATAGGATAAATAGAGCTAATGAAGATGAGAGAGATATAGAGTAATACATAATGAATTTATTTTAGTTCAGCCTAATTCACTTGGCCTATGTTCAATCCTCAAAAACCTTATGAGATTTTTCACTATAATCACAAGTTCAATTTAGGCACTTATGAAGCCACAGTATAATCTCAGATTTAATGTCTATATTACTCTCCATTACAAAAATCCTACAAGTTCAATCTGGGTACTTGGGAAACCACTTACAATCTCTTAGACTTATAAGTCTGTTTCTTTCCCCCTCACAGAGGTAATTTTAGCACTCACTTAAAATCTCTTGATCTTAAGTTTGCTCAAATAAATAATAGAGAGATTTTGATCACAAAGTGATTCTGATAAAAACTCACTCATTGAATAGATGAACACATTGAAGTACAATAATATTTGAGACAAATATAGAGAGTAATCGAAGGTATTGAATATCACAGCTTGTGTCACTCACTTTTTTGCTTTGCTATTTATAGATGAGCCCTTTTATAGTTGGAGTTGAACAATGATCCGTTAGACTCATTTAAAATAGCCATTGGAGTAGTCTCCTTCTCTCTTATGTAAGTCTATTTAATACTTTCGGTAGAGTTTTCTTTGTGTCTTGTAAAGTATTCATTAAATACAATCAATTTTTCATTATTGTTCGATCTCTAACATTGTTGTTATAATGTAGCTTTGTTGCTTTATAACAGTATTGTTACTTGAAAAGGATAGTAGGCATTGACAGCTTTTCAGATGGGTTTACGTGTTAAAGCTAGAAGCAAATATAATGGCATTTACGCATTTAATGCTCTGGCAAAAGTAGGTAAAGGTTTATATCGGTAAAGCATTTTAGCATAGGTGGTATAAATAAAAAAATGAATCACAAAGAGTTTGATCCAAGCAATAATTGTGTTTAGATACATTTTAGGAAGATTATTAAGTGTATACAATTGATTGCAGATGAAAAGAATAACTAAGAAATGAGTTTTGAAGAGTTTAGAATTAAGAACAAAAAATAGAGCATGAAAGAGCAATTTAGTACTGGTGCTATTTGCTATAATATTGGTGCTATGATAAGAAAAAATGACAACAAAATGAAAATAACACAGGTGTTACTTTGATAGTATCAATATAAGGCTCTTCGTAAAAGATGATGATACTTTTCATTTTATAAAAATAAATGTTTTTCTCAAATGAGGATTTATTACATACTTATTGATAAAACGTATCGTTGTTAATATAAATTAAATGAAATCTTCTATTTCAAAGCTTTGAAGAATAGTACCGGTGTAGAAAAGTAGTACTAGTGCTAAAATATTAATAGCATAGGTGTTAGTACTTAGTATGGGTGCTAAAGAAAAGTTTTTTTTTGGTCAAAAATAAAGGAATAGCATAGTGTTAAAAGCACAGCACCGATGCTATAAGCACATTTTCGTAACACAGTTTATGGGTTAAATTATATCAATCATAACTTTTTCATTTTAATCCAAAACAAGAAAATAACCTATGTTGGACGTAACAATCAAGAAAATTTAACTCTGGTTTTTTAACCTAATGAGGATAATTAGTGAGTTAATGATGTGTATGGCCAAAGGGGCTTAACCTAGCATAATTGTTGTGATTTTAGCCCTAGAATTGGATTTGGATCAATGGCGGGCCACCCGGGCAAGGAAAGAGGAAGAAAAAAGTGAAGAATTATTCTCTGTGCCACACACCATGGCATGTGGTTAGTCTGCCACGGTGCACAGAAACAGATTTAAATGCAATGGGCTCCTCTATGCTATGCGCCGCGGCAGAGGGCAGCGTGCGCTGTGACGTATGGGCAAAATTTTTGATAAATCAAATTGCGTCTGTGTGAGAAAACAGAAGAGAGAAGAGAATGAAAACGAAGAGAATGTTGAAGCTCTGCTAGGGCATGCTCATTGGTTCTTATTGTTGACATTTTGAAGCTCCCAAATACTCAAGGTAAATAATCTAAGCATTCTTCCTTTCTCTCCCTTATTTATGATGATTTATGGTAGGGTTTGAGTTGGAAAATTAATTTTTAGTCCATAGGGGTATGGGTTCGATTCTATTGATAAAAATAAGTATAATGGGAGTTGTTTAATATATTGTTTAATGTGGTTAGTCTATGGGAGCATTTATTTTCTAAAAAATGATATTTATGAGGTAGTTGGTAGATGTTTATGTGCATTAATGATGGTTTGAAGTATTGTTAATGATAACATACATCAATGAAATTTAATAAGCCCATGAGGTATGAATGGGTAGTGATTATGAGTTGATAAAAATAGAGTGTGTGGAGTTATATGTTGATAAAATTTTAAGAGTTAGACAATGATGAAATTCTTTTGGCATTGATGGAGAGAGGTTTATTTTTGACACCATTCGAGCTTGTTAAAGCTTTGGAAAGTTGGTATAGTGAGGGGTAAACCTTTGACCTCTCAAAGGTTTGAGATAACTAAGGAAAACTTAATCTTTATAGTTGAATGTTAAATGTGTTTGTGAAATGTGAATTATGAGCTAAATTAATGATGCATATTGACAAAGTATTTAATTTGTGAAATGGTTTTTGAAAAAAAAAAACCTTGCTTTTGCCACCCTTGGTGTTTTATGAAATTGATTATGATTTATTACTATGGGTGAAGAATTGTGATATATTATGTGTTGAATTGTGGAGTATTGAGTTATGTAAGTTCATGTATTATGAATTGATTGTTAAATACATATTATGTGAAAAATGTGCATAGCATGATCACTGGCGGGAGTTCACCTAGGGAGCGAAGTAGATTGGTTGAAATCTATGTGGTATTGGCAGTAATCATTGGAAGCAGGAACTAACCTTGGCACCAACCGTTGAAATCGGGAGATAGTCATTGTCCCATGATTGATTCAAGATTGTCCCACTTGTTTTATGAGGGACTCAAACCTAACTAATCTCCATCAATTCATCAGGAGGCTAGATTAGGGGGTACGACACCCCATGGTTGTTAGTATTAAGGGAAACTAAATTATATAAGAGAGTGAGTTAACCTTGGCTCGATAGCTCCTCACAAGTGGAAGGCTGGGTTAGTTCATGAAGAACGTAGCCATATGATAGCCACCGGTTTTGTGTCGGAGGTAACAGGAGGACATAAGGTTGGCATGTGATTATGCATATAAGTTCGGCTACATGGTTGTTAGTTTTGTAGTCCAGTATGTATTGAGGGTGCATGGTTGTTATTTTTGCGACCTTGTATTATGTTTTTGCTAAATAACATGATAAAGTGTTTTGTGGCAAGCCCGATCACATGGTTGCTAGTTTGTGAATTGTGACTGAATGTTATATGTTATTCGTGCTTGTTTGCCTAATTGTATTTATTTACAATTGACATGCAACTGTATAGGTTAAGTGAAACTTGGTTACTAAGTGGTTATACTCACCCCTCAATTCTCAATATTTTCAGTGCCTAGCTTATCGGATCCAAATCGAGAAAAACATACAGAGGCCTAGGATTATGGAGTAATCCTTTATATGCCTCTCTTTTATTATTTTCATGTGTATTTGTTAATGTAATTGCCAATTAAGATTATTTGACATGATTTATGTACTACTTGCATGATTTTGTGTATAATTAGTGTATTTTATACCCTGAGTTAGTGAGTTTTGGTTGTTAACCAGTGAATAGGGTCAAAATACTTGTATAAGTAGAAACATATGTATTTTGAGAAATTTGGAATGAAATTGTTGATTTTGTGCAACATTTCCTCCCCTTTTATGTTTTGTGAAAATAAGGGTCGAGTGGTGATTTTATGAGATAAGCATTTTTTATTGTATATGGTGTATTGCGGCATGGGCCCGCAAGAGTCCATTGAGTGTGATCGAATGATTAGTGTGAACTATTGACGCGTGTGGTTGAGTTGGGACATCCCATTTGGAAAATTTTGTGAAAAAGTGGTCATAATGGGTTTTCATGTCTAACTTTTGATAAAAAATGAGTTTGAGTGTGAAACTGATGCCATTAGTTAGAGCTAGGAGAAAGCTTTGTGTAGACACCAAAACCACCTCAGTCGGACGTCGGATGGAGATTTGGGATGTGTTGAAAGTCTGCTCCATATGCTGTTAAATGATAGCACTGATGTTATCAAATTTCGTGCAATGCGCCGCAACTCATGGCACAGAGAAGACACCTCAATTGGATGTCGGATAGAGATTTGGGATGCATTGAAAGTCCGTTCTCTATGCTGTCAAATGACAGCATTGATGTTATCAAATTTTGTGCAATGCGCCACGACTCATGACACAGAGAAGGCATGTTGTGGCACACATGTCGTAAGCTGCGGCGTACGTGTCATTTTCTACACAAAATTTGTTTTTGAGTATTAAAACTCATCATTTTGGGTTTCAATTGATTTTTAAGCTTCCACTTTACTTTTAAAACTCTAATATGAACTTCTTAAAAAATGTTTGAAATTTGAATTATTGAGATTGAGATTTCTTTGAAAGAATTTTGAGAAATTCCTTTTGTAAAATTTTATAATTTTGTAATTCTTTAAGGGTTAAACCCTAAATTGTCATGATTTAGAGACAATTGCAGTTTAACCTCAGGAAGGTTATATTGGAAAGCTCTAGATGTTTAGTTTCCAACAAAATAATACCCACTTAAAAATTCAAAGCAGTTTGAAAGATATGACTAAAAAAGTGAGAAAAGGTTAGCAGCATTTTTTCGACTATTGGAAGTTTTAACAACCAATTTTAAAAAATCATATCTACTTCATATAAAATCTATTTTGAATGAAATAGATGTCTTTAGAAAGATTTATAAGTCTATTTTTAAACAAAAGAAACTTCACATTAAATAGATTTGTATATTAAGAGATGTAGAGAAAATATTGAATCAAGGTCAAAACTAAATATCTCCCAACCTCTTAGTGAACTTCAAATGTTAATAACATAATTTCATTATGAGTAAATATAAATTTTAAGAAGCTTTATGGAGTTAGTTTTTAAATAATTTTTAAGAAAAAACATTTTCAAATCTTTTGAGATATAACTGGTTGAAAACAAGATTAAAGTTATATCTCAATATTTATTTTAAAAATAAACTGAATGTTATGATGCATATAAAACAATGAATTTAACATAATGATTAGAAAGCTTAATAATATTATACTTATCAAGACCAAACCTATCATGGATCGAAGCTTGTAAATCTTCATTCACTTGAGCTCTGATTGGATCATCTTTCTCATATTTCTTATGTTTTTCATTCTTGAGTGAAGCATGCTAATAATTACTTCAATAGCTATCTCTTCATGCTCACTCATATTTTTACTTTAAATAACCTTCAATAATGTGTCATAAATAAAGTGGTTAGTTCAAGTATCAATATGCATGGGAATTAGTGTAAAAGTTATTATATCATGCCATGCATATAAAAATCTTATATTATAAATATCCAAATTATGAAAACTAACACTTTGATCACTCTTAGATATATAATCAATTTAGGATAAGAAAAAATATAATAGGATAAAATAACTTTTGAGAACATAAATTATTTTTTCAAATCCCAAATAGTACGAAACAATATAAGTAAAATCACTTTAAAAAATTTATTCTATAGTTATAGTTAACTAATATATGTAAGAGAACAACTAATCCATATAGTCTGCTATTCTATATTCTCAAACATATAGCTAAAATAATACACCTATATTTATCATTATCAAAACTTAAACTTAATATAATGTCATAAGTCATTATGTTCAATAAAATTATGTTAGATAATGTAACTTTAAAGTAATTATTGTATTTCATGATACTTATTTATTATTTGCCTATTGTAATGGAATTTATTTATCATTCTCCCATATTCTTTCTATCTCAATAAATACTTGAATTATATGATTTTATATTTTCTATTCACGCACAAAGTTGAAATAAAAGTGTAGCCAAAAATTTGTTTGATAATAGTTTATATATATGTAGCAATTCAAGCATGGATTAAAATAGATAAGATAGACCACTGTTAATAAAAACAGTTTTACATCACGAGAGTTGGAATTTGGCTTAGGTGTGTAGAAATAACACCCCAAGTTTTTTCAGAATATTGGAGCATAAAATTAAAAAAATATAACTTAATTGTTCCCAAATAAATCGTGTAATTTATTTATACGATAATCAGAACAACATATAAATATACACACTTGATGAATTAAATATAAGAACCAACATTTATTTGAGAGGACAGGGTCATTAATATGTGTACCGAAACTGCTCTAACTTGCCCTACCACCACCAACTTGTGTCCCCTCAAAAACACAGGATCTTGGTGGGAAGTCACTCTCGTAGTTCTCACTCTCTGACTTTGCGGGTTTCAGGGGAAACGATGTTGAATTGTCTTGAATTGGAGCCAGAAATCGCCTGCGTCTATTAATGTTGCAGTTTTTACATTTAGCATCCCAAAATTTACTCCATTGCTGTTGATCATGGACCCCTTTTGTTTTTCGAATTCAACCTGTTTGGTGCTATGTCTCTGATAATGTAGGATGTGAAAATGACACTAATCCTTCACTCTTCCCTCTATTTCGTTCAAACCTCGTCTCCACCAATCCTTCAGCAAACACAGTAATCATGGCTCTGCAGGTACCATCTTCCTTATTATGCGTTTTTTCGGTTATTTTCTTTGAATCAATCGGAGGACCAAATATCAGGGAAGAAAGTTTGTGGCCTTCTCCCTTTTGTTTTACGCATTTTGGGGTTGAGGTCTTCAGGTGGGCGATGGTCGGACTTCAAGTGCTTGAAACTGTAAACGCTACAGTTTTTCAAGACAAAAATCATATTTATGGATCTCAGGACTATTATTCTGGTTTAAAGTAGTAAAATTTGATATTTATTTATTTATTTATTTTATCAGTTTTCGTCTAGTTTAGTCATTTTGAGATAGTTACTTTTAAATTCCGAAGAATGATAATGCAGGAAGAAGGGTGGCCCTTCGGATTACTGCATGGGAGGATTGGGTTGGTACAAAATGACAGTGATTTCTCTGGATCAATACTCACTGCTTCTCCCACTTCGTTCACTCATCCTTCTTCAGATCTTGAATCCCAGGTTGGTGATCTTTGAAGATCAACCAATTCAATTCATGATAGTTGCTCTGTTTTTGCTTCTTTTTTATTATCATTGCTGGATTCCCTATTAGTTTCCCAAATGTCTCTGTTTTAATGTTCTTGGTGTTAGCATTTATCAATATGGTCATAGGAATATATCGTTCATATCGTTAATCAATTATTATCATTATTTATTTTAAAGTTAAAGGACAAATTTGTTTTGAAACATTTTCTTTAAGAACGTCGGGCATTCTAAATTTTTTAATAGAGTAATTTTTTCTTAAAACTTTTAAAAAGGGTGCTTTTTTGCCGTTATAAATTCACCGTCGGTTGACCATCAAAACTCAAGTTTGACTGTTAGTGAAACACATGGCAATGCTGAGTTGGACAATTTATTAATAAAAAAGAAAACTAAGCCTGCTCTGTTTGTATTAGCTCGAGACGCCGTTTCCTTTTCCTCTTTGGTCTTCATCACCATACCGGAAAATTGTAGGAACCTTTCCCATTTTCGTGTGCTAAAAAAAGAGCAATGGGTTCTCGTCGAAATTGCTCAATTAGCCTCGAATGTGTTTCAATAAAGGAGAGACGGGGAACTGATAGAAGCTTGAGTGCTCGATTCCTGTGGCTGGTGTGATGATAAGGAAGAGACGGCGAACTGATGAGGACAATGGTGACATTTAACCATCGTCTTCAATCTCATTGATCTCGACCTGCGATGAATAGAAAGTTCCCCGTGAGAAGATGCGACTTTGAACATAGATCTCGATTATTTTGAAATTAGTGAGAAATTTTGTTTTTAATCTGCAAATCTGTACAAGTTGTTTGAGTTTTGAATCTGTAAATGTTCTTTCTTGTTCTTTGTTTTGAATCGGCAAATGAATCTGGCAAAAATCGAGTAGGTATGGGTCAAACAAGAATGGGTTTAATCAATTGAGGGAGCTCTTTGCCTCTTGTTTTTCTCAAAGGTAGTTTTAGAATTTTGAAAGTGATCTGAACACTCAACGGGGTTTTTAAATTTGGACATTCTCAATATTCAATTTCATTTTGTAACTTTTGCAAAAGGCAGCACAATTATCGCCTAAATTTGGACGAATCTACTTCTTTTTTGTTACTAGAAGGTCGACAGCGAAGGTTTGTGGGTGAGGGAGAATGGTCGCCGACGAGTGAAGTGGGAGATGAAGCACACGCCATGGAGGAAGAGGGATGAGAGATGGGTACACGTGGACGACGCTGGTCATCTTTTGGTCCAATTTCTTTCCTTTTTTTTTTTTTTGGGTCCAATTTCCTTTTGTTGGGTTAATTAACCCAAAAGCGAAGTAGGTTTAGTTTTTTTTATTAATAAAGCGTCCAACTCAACATGCCATGTGTCTTATGAACAGTTAAACTTGAGCTTCGATGGTCAACTGATGGTGAATTTAACGGCAAGGCAAAAAAGGACTTTTTTTTTTGAGGTAAAAATACTCCATCAAAAAATTTAAGATGCCCAATGCTTTTAGATAAAAAGTTTTGGAGCAAATTTATCCTTTAATTTTTTTTTTACTTTGATATAAATGATTTGATGATAATTGATATCATCATCATCATCATCATTTTTTTGTTGAAGTTTAACTGAAAAATTCCACAATAAATAACGGATAACAAAACAAATCTTACAATGATTGAGAAATGAGAAACAGCCTTTAATGAGTGACAATTTGATGACCAAATTGATTAAAACAGTCAAAAATTTCCCTGACGAAGTAAAACCATCCTTTACTTGTTCAAAAATACTTGACGTTTGTGAGGTTGGATTCTTCATCTATGTGTCTTCTGTGTTCTAGTCCCCAGGATCCTTGTTCCATGAAAAGACCATCACACTTGGAACCCTCATTGGCGATTCTAGCCTCCTGGAACTCTCACAGAGATTAAACAGGGGAAGAACAGTGGTGGACCCTACAAAGGACAGCAATAAGAAGAGTCATAAGATGAAGCCATGGCTGCTCTCATTGTGCTCGAAAAAAACCACTGATGCAGTAAGTGTGAAGGATGGTCCTTCTCTTGGTCACTACCTTGAAGCAGAGAGAAGAGCTGCAACTTCTTTCAGATTCAACCATTCTGTCTGTGCTTCTTCCCATTTCTCCCCAATTCAACGCTCAAACTCTCTATCATCACCATGCATTCTCAAACTTGAGAATCCATGAAATTTATCTCAATTTTACTTTTCGTTTTAGTATTTTCCTCCTTCCAACAGAAGAATACTTCATGAAATTTATGAACCCTCAAGTTATCCTTCTATCATCTGTTTCATTGGGTGGGACAATGGTTATGCAGATAACCAAGTAATTGCCTCTTGTTACTCTTTTCGTTTAACGTGAGATTCAATATTTTAGCCATCCAACAGTACATTTGGTCTTATCAATGTCATGTTTCCTTCAAGTTTGAGTTATTCCGCTTGTTTGCTAAAGAATACTCCCTGTGGTCCTAACACACATAGAACTAACACCCAGAACTTAATATGATAATGACAATCAAATGTTCAAACAATGTACAGGTACGATATTCAAACAATACTCAACTCTGTATCTTAACATATTGTCAATGATAATCAAATACTTAACAATCACATTACTTTTCTAGGGGCATGCGACTTATTTTTATATTAACTGTATTCTAAAAAAGCACAAATGCGAGGACGACATTGAAGACAAAGTATACTTGCGATTTTATTTTTTTTTGGCAGAAGTAGTTTATGAAAGTTTGAAATAGTATGTGTTCAAACTTCTAACAGACTATAGAATAGAAAAGACAAAATGAATCTTTAAAAGCAATGATGTTATAAGGAGATATGGAATTCTCTAATTGGTATGAGGGAATCTTCAAAAGATTTTCAACAGCATGTCCCACTTCATATTCCATTCTAAGCCAAGATCTGCTCTGATTTGCCACGCTTAGTGTAAGCTTTGTAGAGAGGGAGAAATAATAACAAATTTTTTGGGGGGCGTGTTTGGGGAATTCCAGCGAGAAAATTTTCTATTTGAGTTTTGAACTAATGTCAGATGGAGTAAAACTTTGAAGCTTCATATTAATCAAATTTGTAATTGCTAAATTCCAAGGAACTTTACTAGGCCACATGTCTGGTAACCAAACACAAACCTTTGCTCCAAGTCCAACCCACTGGAAGGAACATTGCAGAAATCCATAAAACAGAGACCGCCCATTAATTTTTGTCTTGATCAAGTCCACAAAAAAATTAAACAAGACAACTAGAATGTTATTGTCCCATGAGTTTTTTTTTCTTATTATTTAAATAAGAAAACGTTGTATCAATTTTGAGGTTTATAATAAAAGGACTTTCTGGATGACCCACTGTGTTAAAAAGAACTGTGTTTTAAGTTTAGCAGACGACATTTTGGCCATTTCTAGAGATACATACCGATTGGCAAATGGAATGTGAAAGGTAGCCAATTAGCAATTCAAGCAAAAGTGAATTCCCTAAAAACACTTTTAATTAGCAAAGTAAGAAGGTGTTTGTTTTTAGCTTTGGCGTTTAGCTTTGGAAAATTTCTATGCGTATTTTGTGAGATGTAACAACTTCAAGCTTTCGGTGAAAATATTTTTTTTAACATAAGGTTGCAAACATGCAAGGAAAAAAAAAGTCATGTCAAAATATATGTTTTGATGTTTTATGCATCCGAAGAATAAATCATCCAAAATCTTAATATTAAAATTGCCACTAAAAGATGAGCAAGTTAATTTATACATTTATTAATTCCTCTAAATAAATAATTAAAAGTGATTATTCAATCTCTCATGACTGAGTCTTTAACCTTCAATATAGTTTCAAAAAGGGGATGATTTGGGATAAAATAGCATTGGATAAGTTTGAGATTTTTAAATGAGTTAGAGTAAACGTTAACTTTGGTAAATTTTCCTTTCTAACAAATGTTAAGTCATTCAAAAATAGCTACAAACTCAACAACGGTGCTTGAATAATAACTAGAGAAACTCTTTAACTAATTTCTTTGATTATTTTGGATGAGGCCTCCACAAGCACGTCTCCATTTCTATTAACCGTTCTATCAATAAGAAGTTTGACCCAATTAGGGGCAAGAACTATTTAGCAAGACATTTATCTTGATACATATGAACTTATTCTTAAGGTTTTGGTGAAAATTCTTTTCAAATGTAAAACAAATATTCTCTCTTAAAATCTTATTTAGTCTTACGCATGAAGGAAAGATATACCCCATCCATTAAAAAATATAAAATATTTTTTAACGGGTTGTATATTTAAAAATATAAAATATTTTTAGTTTTTTAAGGTATAATCATTATTTTTTTTTAAAAAAATGCCCCTATTGAATAGATAACTATATATATATATATTTTAAAGTGAAACACGTTATTAAATAGAAGTAAATATATAAAGATAGTGTTAGTTTAAAGACAAGTATCTATTTTGTTAGGAGTAAAATTTGGTTAAAAATGTGTTATATTTTCTAACATAGGGAATGGTAGTTTTCTTCAACATTATCCATTTTATTTGTACTTGGTTGTAATATGTAACATCCCAAAAATTATTTCCTTAATTAATTAAGATAATGAAGGATAAACATATAAATTTAAATTTAAATTTAAATGGGTTTGATGATAATTAGAGATGGTTAATAGGTCTATTGGGTTTAACTTTAAATTAGGTTTGAAAGTGAATTGGGTCATTTGGGCTCAAATTGTTAAAAAAAAATTGGACTTTTGCCCACTGTGCATTTTGTTGTAGTGCAAAAATTTACACTGTAGTATAATTTTTAGAATCATTTTTTTAAACACACAAAAAACGTCCGAAATAGGGAGAAAGGAGCTAGAAATAGAGGGAGGGCGATTGAGAGAATAGTTGCTTTGCTAGGACATCAATTTTTGAGCATTTTGGAGGTGATTAGAGTTTGATTTCACCTAAGTATGCCTTTCTTATCTCTTCATCTTCTCTCTACATGTTTTGGAGTGTGAGATTTGAGGTTGGGAGATGAGAATTTTTGAACATAGAGCTATGGGTCCAAACTCATTGGTCTAAATGAGACTAATGAGAGTTGTTTAAGTTATCTAAACCTAAATATATTGGTTTTATATGTCTATGAAAGTGAGCTCTCGACTATGGATGGATTTGTGCATTAAAGTACCATTAATGATGAAGGTTTTGATTGTTGAAAGCCATTAATGATGGTAGATGGGTTTAATAAAGTTAGTTGGAGCTAATGGGAGTTAATAAACCTAATGTAATTATTAAACTTAAGATTTGAGAGTTTTGATTGATTATTTGAAACTTGAGAGTTTGAAGTGAGTAATTTGTGTCATTGATGATGATTTTAGATTGTTATATGATATATTAGTAATTATTTAAGTTGTTAAAGGCAAATGAAGTTAATGAGAGTTAATGAACTCATTGAATGTGAGATTGATCTTTTAGTTGATAAATTGCTTATTAAAGTATGAAATTAGAAGTTGAAAATGATGATTTTGATTATTATTAGTAATGTGTGTTAATATTAATTGTAGACTAATCTTGTGAAGCACCGATCAACTTAAATTTAGCTCGAAAGTCAAGTTGTAATTGAGAGATAATCTTTAACCTCTCAAAGGTTTGAGATAATCGAGAAAAATTTGGTTTGTACATTTGCTTATTATATAGTTATATGTTTAAATGAATTGTTTGAAAACTAAGTTATGTTTGTAAATTGATATTTGATACAAATTGTAATAATATGAGTAAGTTTATGTGATGTGTTGAAATTGATGTAATAATATGTGTAAGAATAATTGTCTATATGAATATGTATGTGATGTGTGGATAAATGATATATTTGAGCATAAACATAAGAACATGACAAGACTTATGATGTGATGATGTGATATGAATGAGATAGAATATGTGATGGAAATAATAACTAAAGGTGAACAAAGTGGTTAGTGGAGTTTGATAATTGAGAAATTGCGTGTAATGCATTTAATGAGAAATTTTATACTAGAATAAGCATGTTTTATTTGCGTGATCATTAGGTGGGAGTTTGCTTATAGGGAGAGGAGTAAATGTTGTAAATCCACGTGATATTGGCAACTTATTGTTAGAATCAAAAGCTAGCTAGTCTATCAACTGTTGGAATCAAAAGGTAGTCATTGTTTCATTATTTTAGAGGGACTGTTCTACTTATTCTTTGAGGAGCTCCAACCTAACTAATCTCCATAGGTTCATGAGGAGGTTAAATTAGGGGTATGACATCCTATGGTTGTTAGTATTAGGGAAAAACCGTGTCACACAAGTGAGTATAGTAGTCTTGGCCAGTCAACTCTTTATGAGTGGAAGGCTTGGAAATCCAAGTTTATAGACATAGCCCAATAAATAGCCACCAATTTTATGTTAAAGATATCAAGATGGTATAAAGTTGGCATTGATTATGCATATTATATCCCAACCACTTGGTTATTATTTTTATGGTTTGACATGATTTGATAGGGAGCACATGGTTATTAATATTGTAACCCCATATATATTTTAATGCATATTATTATGTGACCATATAGTTGTTATTTTTGTGGCCATACTTGTCTTACGAAGGGTGCATGATTGTTATTATTGTGATCCTTGCATGCTAAGTAATCTAATATTACATGATTGTTTTGTAACTATATGAATTGGATGGTTTAATATGTGAAAATGTTTCATTTGAATATGCCATTTGCATAACTATTATTAATTAACATGTATTTGTATAAGTTAGATTAACCTTGATTACTAAATGATTATACTCACCCCTCTATTAAACATTTTACAGGCAATAGTATTGAGTAAGACCAAGGGAAAACACCAAAGGCTTAGGAAGTCAATTTTCTACTGTAGGCCTCTCGTAATTTTAGATGAATATGTGAAATTAATTGATATTACCAACTAGGGTGTTTATATTTTGTTATATTTACACCATTAAATATTGAATATTGAAATGTGTATTTTGGATCTTAGTGCGTGTGGTATCTTTTTTAGTTGAGATATTTGAGTAGGGTCAAAATATTAGTTCAAGTATAAATTTGATTATATGTATGTTTGTATTGAATTATATTGAGTTTTGAAGTAAAAAGGGAGAATGATATTAAAGTCCCACATAAGAAAATTAATTACTGCAAAGTCCATTGACAACTCAACTAAACTGTATTGAAATTGTTAATACAGTTTAGTTCAGTTGTCAATAGACCTTGCAGTAATTAATTCTCTTGTGTGGGACTTAACTGTAATTCTCCCAAGTGAAAATGCCTCCCCCTACTATTTCCAAAATCAAGGGCTTGAGGATTGAATTTGTGAAATATATGATATTTAGTTATTATGGCATATTACATAGGTTGTCCAAAGTCTTTTAAGTGTAATCTAGATGTTAGATTGCACTTTTGGCACTTGATGTGAATTTTGGACACCTAGGTTGTAGTTTAAGGGTGAAAATGTGCTAATTTACATTTGGAGTCCAATTTATGTTTATATTAGAGTTTGAAAATGAAATCAGTGTCATTAATTAGAGTTTTGAAAGAGCTTTTTGTGGACATCTAGATAACTCAATCGGACATTAGATGAAGAATTGAGGCGCATTAAAAATTCGGTTAGAAAATCTACCATGATAGCTTGTTGTCGTCATGGGTTTTGCATTTTATGCCGCAACATAAAATTTTATATTGCTACGTAATTGTGCTAAAATCATTGTTTTTGCTCTTTTAATCCTACATTGATTTGTTACCTTACCTAATAAGATTTTCACATTTCCATATATGTTTCTACTCTATTTTAAATTAGTTTATATTTGATTTCAAAGTAAGTTATTAAGCTTGAGATTCTAACTTTAAAAGGTTTATATTTTCAAATAAAGTTATTGTTGAGTTATGAAATAAGTATTCTAATACTCATTTTGAAATCTTTTAAATCATAGTAGACTTTTGATTTGTTTTTTTCTTTCTATTATGATTAGTCTTTTAATAACTGGTTGAAATCTACAAATATAATTTAATAATTGTATGATTTAATCCATAGTTACTATAAAAAGTTTTAGTTAAGTGTTGGAATAATAAGAAGAACGTTACACAATATATATACCTACTTTATTTTAGTTATTAATTTTAGTAAATGATAAAATTAAAACACCAAACAATGAGGAATTTCTCTCATCGCCTAGACAACCAGCACTCTCTGCAACAAGGTAATGAATGATAGCCCGTAAATTTAAACCACATATTTTCAGGAATATTTTACAATTTTTTTTTAGATAAAGAAATTCAATACATGCACTCCAAGAAGGGATTCGGTTTTAGTGTTCATCTTTGCTCAATATCAAAACATTGCCGTTTGGCAGTGTTTTTTTCTTCTTTTACTTTTTTTAAATTACAAATTTATTATTAATTTATTATAATATGTTAAAATTGAACTTGAATAGTTTAAATAAAAATTTTGATTTGAACATTGAAAATTATATTGAAAAAAAATAAAAAATAATCTGAATAATTTAAAATAGGAGTTGAGTCTAGCAAACTGAACCAGTTTCTTACACAGTAATAAATCAATATTTGAATTTCTATTGAAAGAAATATCTATATTTAATACCTAACTATGCCTTGAATAATTTTATCTCTCATAAATAAACAGCTGTGCAAAATCAATAAAATAAAAAATATTTTTAGTTGTGATTTTAATTTTTTCAATACAGTTTTAAATTGTTTAGACTAAAATTTATATATGAATTGTTTAAGTTAAATTTTAATGAATTAATCTGTTCATATTTAATTTTAACATCTTAATATTTATTTATTTATTTATTAAATATTAAAATAATAATTTTATAATATTTATTTATTATTATTATAATAAATTGTGGTTAAAAAAAGCCAAAAAAAAAAAAAAAGGCAGTGTTTTGGTGATGGGCACCAAAGTGAGCACCGAAACCGATTCCCTCCAAGAACACACCTTTTGTAGGCATAGGATAATTACAGCAAGATCAAATCGTCGCATTCATTTTCCGCAGCGGAAGCATACAAGTATCCATCAGAAAATCACTAAAACTTTTTCCGCGAAAAGGAGCAGGGATTCAGAGAATGTTAAGAATAATCGTGCTTATCGTGAAAGTTTAATGTGTACAGAGAAGAAAGCTCATGCTAGAGGCTACGATGTTCAGATGATTAGGGAAGTTCTGTTGGAGTGGATAAATGGGTCTGTTCTGAGGGCTATGGTTGATGCGGCTTTCAAACTCAAACCACAGCAGCTTCGGGTAGTATTTCACCATCGTCCTCTTCCTTCTTTCATACGTAAGAGCAACAGTCACGCCGAAAATGCGCTACCCAACTTCTGATCTCGTAAGAACCTTCATGCCCCTGCCGACTCTCAAATTTAGAAACACATCTCATCACCCTATATCCTCTCTTATATCCTGATTTCCCAACCTTCCACCCCAATCCATTATGAAACGAAATCACACTTCCCCCTGTCACTCGGATCGGAAATGGCTCATGCCCACCATTTCAGGTTTTATTCTTTTATTCTTTGTCCTCCTCTCCTTTCGTGGGCTTAGCAAATCTTCTTTTGGTTCTGGATCTTCCTATGATCAACCCAATTTCACCCGTTTCGACCCAAATGACGCCGTTGGAAACGGCGGATTCGGGCTTCCGATTTTGCCCAGATTTGCGTACTTGATAACAGGCACCAAAGGAGATGGCCTGCAGCTCAAGAGGATTCTTCAAACAGCGTATCACCCCAGGAACTACTATATGCTGCATCTTGATCTCGAAGCTCTGGATGCTGAAAGGCTTGAGCTTGCCAAGTATGTGAAATCTGAAGTTGTGTTTAGTGAGTTTGGGAATGTGATGGTGGTTGGTAAGGCGGATTTGGTTACTTACAAGGGTCCAACAATGATTGCTTCTACCCTTCATGGGATTGCAATGCTGCTGAAGCTGAAACAGGATTGGGATTGGTTTATTAATCTAAGCGCCTCTGATTATCCTCTCATGTCGCAGGATGGCGAGTTTTCAGATACCGATTACTCTCTTTTGCTAACTTTGGTCATATTATTGTCAACGTGATGATGGATTATAAATTGAATGTGTGTGGACTTTTAGTGACGAACACTTGCTGTTCTTGAGCTTCATATGCTGATGATATTGATTACTGTGCACCGTTCGACTATGCCTTTGATGATTGAACTTTAAAGAAGTCTATTTCAAAAAATAATGTCATTTTGTCCTCGAAAGATTCTTTACAATTGATATATTGGCAGTTATCATTGAAGGTGGATTCGATTCTTGGAATTGAGCCCATCAAAGGAGCTTCTTTAACCATACGCGTCAATAAATCCAGAAGTTACTTAGTTTTGTTTGGTCATAGTCTAAAATCATTGGTGTACGTGTAATGCCTATGATGGATCTCCATTTGTTAATATGTTTCTGATTGATATGGAAAGACCTTCTTCCTTTGGGTTTATGCTTTCTGATCATATAGAAGGAATTCAAATGTAGTCGTTTTCTCTGTTTGGATACTGAAGGCAGGAACCATATAACGTTCTTGTTTGATACTTTTCAATTTGTCCTTAAAGATTCTAGTTTCATTGGGGGATCTGCAAATATATCAATGTATACTTTCTCATGTTTTGTGGCTCTTCAATAAATTGAAGTTTGGGATAATTTCCATTTGCTGACCATTTTTTATCATTTCTTGCTTCAGATCTTCTGCATATATTTTCATTCATCCCCAGGGATCTAAACTTCATAGAGCACACAAGTAGTATTGGCTGGAAGGAGTGAGCATAACAGTCATCCTTGGTGTTATTTCGGTTTGTTTTAGAACTTAGTAGTTTAAATTTTACAGATTGCTTGTAATTTGTGTGCTTTTTACTGTTATTGCAGGAGTCAAAGAGCTATGCCCATCATTATAGATCCAGGCTTGTATCATTCAAAGAAATCTGGTGTTTATTGGGCTAAGGAAAAAAGATCTGTCCCATCTTCTTTCAAGTTATTCACGGGTGTCAGTTTGAACTTTTAACTTTTATATGAATTATGTTATCTCTTGAATTATCTGAACATGATAGAGCACAATGGCGTCTTGCAATCCATGTAGCCGACCCCACCTAGTGGGATAAAGGCTTGTTGTTGTTGTTGAATTATCTGAACATATCCCCTTTTTTTTTATTCTCTTATTTCAGTTAAGTCTATTTTAGGCTCATTTGGTTGATAGAAAGGATGGGAATGCAATTGGTTAAAAAAAGTGTAACAAAAATGAATTAGATCACCCTTTCCCTCGTGATAAGCATGATAAAATTTAATACCACATATTACAAAATATAGGAATCACCACACTCTTTACAAACCTCGTGTATTATGACTTCTAACTTTATGAACTAAATGACCTCTTTCCATTATAAATATGGTTGATCTATTTTCCCTCCACATTTTGATCATTTTATTTTTGCCTTCATTTTTTTAATCCATTTCATTCTCATTCTTTCTAGCAACCAAACTAGTCCTTAGTATTAATCTTTCATGATTTTTAACCTAATTTGAATTATCATAATAGATCAACACCACTAGGCCACTACCATGATATGGCTATGTCTGAATTTGTTGTGCACATTAGGTTTTGTGCATTTTATTACTTAAACAATTTCCAATTTCTGTTATTTATACATTGCAAAGTTGATGCTGAGGTTGAGGATCTCATTAGATGTTGTATTGTTAAGTTGATGCAAAATTCTTTAAAATTTGTCCGAAACAAATATTCGTATATTGCTTTTGGTACTTGAAATATCTCTAAATTGGTTTTATAATTTTCTTGGGGGAATAACTATTTTTCCCGAAAGTTACATCGCATGTTAAGTACTTGTTTCAGAACCATGTTAAACCTCAAGTTTGTTTTGAATAAGAACTGGCCGGATAACCACATCAGTTGAACAAAGCAAGAAAATTATATGTTTGCATGTGCCTCTCTGGTTATTCCTCAGACAGAAGCGTCATGCGTTCTCTTGATCTTTAAGTTAAACTTGTTATCGTGTGGTCAGGTTCTGAATGGGTTGTTCTGACAAGATCGTTTCTGGAGTTTTGCGTTTGGGGTTGGGATAATCTTCCACGCACTCTTCTGATGTATTATACAAATTTTGTTTCATCCCCTGAAGGCTACTTCCATTCTGTCATCTGCAATCACAAGGACTACCAAAACACCACCGTGAATCATGACTTGCACTACATAAAATGGGACAACCCTCCAAAACAGCATCCTATGTTGTTGAAATTGGAACATTTTGATGACATGGTCCAAAGTGGTGCACCTTTTGCTCGCAAGTTCGCCAAAGACGATGCTATTCTCAACAAAATTGACACAGAAATCTTGAAGAGATCAGCTGGACATTTTACACCTGGGGGTTGGTGCGTGGGCTATTCTGTGCTGGGGAAAGATCCTTGTGCAGTTTATGGCAATCCCATTGCGGTTAAACCCACTTCAAGTTCAAAGAGGCTTGAGAAACTATTGGTGAAACTATTGGATTCTGATAATTTCAGGTCGAAACAGTGTAAATAACTGGGGAAATAACTTTTCTACACTTTTCCTGTACAAATATATTTTGAGACACGAGCTCATGAATGAAATTCCAGAGAGAATGACCTCCAGGGGTGATTCAACGGAGCATTTTGCATCCATCAACACAGGTTGTGTATAAGTCGGTAAAAGTGTAATTTAAGTTTGATGGAAACGAAATGTAACCGAAATTGATTATTGGGAGAATGACATAAAAAGGCCATTGAAATATACATATCCCATATGAGGACTGCCAAATGGTTTAATAACTCTGAAGTCCGTTGGGACTTCTCTGGGATTATCAATTTTTATGAAATGATAATATTGCCCCCACTTGACAGAACTCCACTGTCGCTCTCTATTTTGCCTTTGATTTTCCCTTTCCTCCTTCCTCAGTTTCTCCGAGTTGTGGCAACACAAAGGCGCACCGACGAAATGCGTAAATTTTAAAGTCGACATTCATCAGAATTACACTTCTCAGTTCCTGAAACAATGGCGACTCGCATTATCCTTGGAGCTATCCGGAAATGAACTGTTATTTTCGTCTGCCTCACATTTTCAGTCTCGCTCATCCGCTCTGACTTCTAGATATGTAATTTCTCTGCCAAAATTAGAATCTTTCGATTCATCATCTCTCTCTCTCTATCTCTGTAATTCTATCTTCAAATTCAATTTAGGTAAGTACATTGGTTATAGCGGAGCACGAGGGTGGTGCCGTGAAAGCTCCTTCCATGAGCTTGGTTGCGGCTGGCAAGTCGTTAAGCGATGATGCTTCAATTTCTGTGCTTTTGGTTGGCTCGGGTCTTTCCCTTCTCAAAGTTGCTTCGCATGCTTCAACCTCTCGGGAAAATCCCTTCGTTTTTCTTCCTTGTCAATTTTACTTTAAAGCATCTGGTTTAGGAATTGACTACTAATTTAAGCGTGTTTCATAGCAATGTATCTGTTGAATTGACTACTAATTTAAGCGTATTTCATAGCAATATATCTGTTGGTTGAGCTTAAGCAGCTACTTTTTTCTTTTAATTAATCTTCACACTTGCGTTGCAAATTTTTGCAGTTCGAAGAAATCTGGAAATGGCAAGAGGCTTGGAAAAGGAGGGAAGAGATTATGGAAAAAGCATCGGGTTGGGTTTCAAGACTCCTAGAGAAGCCATTGAAGGTTTTGCTCCTTGCAAATTTTTTTTTTTTTTTAATAAATATGGAGAGGTATCATGAATCCAAGCAAGGATATAAGCAAATCAGTTCACAGGTTGAAACTTGTTTAGAGCCGGGAATAAGGGCCGGGCCTGAAGGGCCTGGCCTAAAAGCCCTGTTTAAATAAGGGTTCGGATTTTGAAAATAAATTTTTTTTAAAGTAATCGGGCTTGAGGGCTTGGCCCTGATAAGCCCTGTAAAATAGGGCTCGGGCCCGGGCTGCCCTTCAAGCCCTGTTATATTATTTTTATTATTATTTTTTTTAGTAAAACACGTGTTTGAAATCAATGACCTGCTCACCTGATCCTACACACATTATATTATTATTAATTTTAATTTATTCTAAAATTAATTTAATCTAATTTAATAAATATCAGTGTATAGTATAAAATTTATGATATTTTTTATTTTTCTATAATTATTATGTTTGTATATTTATAAAAAAAATGAACTATTTTTTAAATGAAGATTTAAATTTTATTACTAGACTTTTAATGTATGCTATTTAATTTTTAAAAAATTATGATGATTTTAATTTTTTTAATTTTAAAATATTTTAATTTATTTATAATGTTTAATTTTATTTTAATTTTTTATTTTTTAAGAAAGGCTTACGGGCCTGGCCCTGAGCCCTGAGTATAAGGGCCGGGCTTAATAAATGGGGGTCAAAATAGAAAATCAGGCTTTAGGGCTCAGGCCCTAAAGAGCCGGGCCCGCCCGTATTTCCAGCTCTAAACTTGTTCTTTTTGTCATCTACCACCTTTTGGCAAAAAAGTGATAGTTGATCAAAGGCACAAAAAATACTAAACTTGGTCGAGAGCATTATGAGCAAATAATTGGGCAGCTCTAAAGAAACTACTCTAACATGAAACAAATATTTCCTAGTATACTCAGTGATGTCTCTAAAAAGGTGTTGTCTCACATTATCGCTAGTAAGCATATTAATCGCGTTAGCACAATCAATGAACGCTTGGACTCTTTGTAAATTCAAATGCCAGCGCAATTTAAGGCCTTGAATTATATAATAATCCCAATAATTATAGGGGGAAACTAATCAACATTAGAGTTAAAAGAAGCAATTCATTCCGCATTATTATTTCAGACATAATCTGATATGTTCAACCCATTTGCGCAAGTCTAAATATAAATGAAAACATGAAATTGAATCAGTCTAGTATGAGGAATGAAAGTGTGGAGAATTTTTTTTTTAAATTGTCCATAAGGATAAAATAGCCATTTCATATTAAAATTAATTGACAAACAAGTTTCCAAGAACTAGAAAATAATTATCACATTTTGTGATACTTAATTGTTATTTGGTTATTTCATGGGTATTTTGCTGTTATTTTCCCTCGATTATTGTCATTGTAAAAATGTTGGGCTCATGACAAATGGGCTGAATGTGTATCTGACTGATGAGCTGTAAAGATTATGTATTGTGGGTTTTGTCTAATTTCTAATTTTCTATGGCTTAATTAATCCATTAGACTTGTACCTTCTGGATTACTTTCTGCGTTTCAGTATCAATTCTGGATTGGGTTCCATCAGAAAACGAGTTGTACAAATAATATCATTATTGCCTCCCTATATACATCAATTCCCAGTTGAGTTAAGCAGATAAACTATATTCCTGGATATTGGAAACCATGTGATATAATGATGGTTTAATCAAATTGTGAAAGAAAATATTTATATTAAGATAATGACTCTTAATTAGGCTCAAAATTTGGCAAAAAAAAAAGGCTCAATAATACTCAAATATGACTTTATTGAATACTAGATAGTTGAATAGACAAAATAAAAGCGAAACTTTGGTGAATTCACATCAAATTAAAAAGTCATTTGGAGGAGATTCTCAAACGTTAATACCAACAATAGAGAAGAAATGATTGCAAAGTCAATATGCTTTTTTGACTAAAGTATTGTCCTTTCACTTCTCTGTTGGGAATATAGCAAGCCGTCTTCCTTATGTCTTAAGGCTTCCCACTGTCTAGTCCAATAATTTGTGGATTCCCCGAAGCATTAAGGGGCTCATCGATTTACATTTCACGTATTCAATAGTCAGATAGATAGACAAATAAATGAGTATAGATAAATGTCATGTATATTTAGAAAAATAAAAATACATAAATAATTTATTTGTTTTATACATATTTATAATATCATGTTATTTCTTCGTTTGGATTCATAGTGTATTGCTGTATAAGTGATTCACTTGGTTGCTTAATATAGTACATTATTGACACTATTGATAGAACTTTTGACTCATGCCAATATTATTCGGAGATCCCTATCTTTACATGACACGAAAGTAAAAGGGTTTGTCTTTTGTTTTTTCGTCCTTTTCCCCATCAAAATTTACATTTTAGCCTAAACAGAATTAGTAATTACATTTAGAAAGTAATTTTAAATTTGATGTGCATTTCTTTTATTATTATTATTATTATTTTGAAATATAAGAGATACGACTGAACTTGCATTTAATTTTTTTTTCTTTGTTGGACCTGGAACTTGCATTTCATTACACATGTACAGCCATCGTGTCATTATCTGCTTTATTCTCTTTTCTCTCTATGTAAATTGCATTTTTCTCCTCAAGAGGATTTATTCATTTTGTTTTTTTTTTCAAGTGCTCATTATATTTATTCATCTAAATTAATTGGACTTGTTTAATAACACGGATAGACTCACTGCAGCATTATATTCGCATGATTACCTGGGCTTCATAGAGGTTTTGCAATATGGTCACGGTTAATGGTGGTATTTTGGGTTAGCCTTGATATGTATTAAAAATTTTAGAGTTGGACTTAAAAGGTTAAAAAAAATTTTATACTTCAAATTTATTCAAGCCATCTAAATAAATTAGAATAAATCCAAGCCAAGCCTAAATCTGAATGGGAATAGTCCAATTCACAAATTACTATTACTATTAATATTATTATTATTATTATTAAATTAACATTCATTTCAACTTTCAATTCAAATATTTTATGCTCTTAAATGAAGTTTTAAAAATATTTAAAAAATAAACAGAAGTGGTTAAACTTGGATGCTTTCCTTTGTACTCTTTCAAGTCTCCATCACTTTAATAAGGATGGAAAAAATGTACATCATAATGTTATGTTGCATAAAACATCTTAATTTTTTTAAAATTAAAATTAAAATTAACTAAAATAGAAAAAATATAATATATATATATATAATATTTAATAATTTGAGTATTCATATTAGCTTGAATAAGTTTGAAAATTCAAAGTGTTATAACTCAGCTTGGCTGTATTGCCTTTTTTATATGTTTGAGTATTTTAAACCCCTCCTAAATTAACATTGCCCTATCCGAATTATTGGCTCTAGTTATTTCAAATAACATATTCATGAATCCCATTATTTTAAATATGTCCAAAGAATATTTTAGAAAATCGGAATGAAATAAACAATTCTTAAATTCACTGGCGGAAAAGGTTTCACCCTAACTTCTTGTTTCGTACATATATTTAGAGTTGCTAACAACTAGGGATCGCATTTAGATCGATGTTGCTAATCTGATACTAGTGAAATGAGCTAAGTCTACTTAATTAAACACTGAGTTCCAGTGCGCGTAAATATAGAAAAAAAATTTATCAAGTGCAGGCCAAACAATAATTTTTAGATATTTAAAAAATCTTAAAAAATTAATAGAGAGAAGAGATCTATGTTTTCTATAACAAAACACATGGTGTTTTTTGAAGAGATAAATATGGTCTTTAATTATTAGGGTTAAAGGGCATTTTTGTTCCTATATTTTTCTTTGAGGGGCACTAAGCATCTTATACTAATAAATGGGGGGAAATGAAGGGGGATTTTTGCTCCACTAAAAAATAGTTTAGAAAAAAAAATACTCTATTTATAAGTACAGATTGTCCAATACTCTTCGAAGAAAAGTGTAAATATTA